CCATTTCAACACTAAGTAGCCTGGATATGTAAAACCTATAGAAATTAATTTAATTGAAATTTGGAATCCGAAATCTGGTCAAAACCCGTATTGGGCCCTATTGGGCCGAAATTAGGCCCAAGCCCATAAAAACCATTTTCTTCAACTTTTGACGAATTTTTTTACTTCAAATCATCAAAATATACTTATGTAAGTGTATATGACTCACAAAAACAGAATAAGATTGCTTGGAATTTCAATCTTAAATTTCTTTAGTTTAGGCCGAATGGTTACCCTTAATTAACCTTAGGAATTTTTGAGTTTTCACCAAACTTTTCAAGCCTAATTAAATTTTTTCCATATTAATTACATGAATTATGAGTTCAAAATCAATTCCCCCAAATTTGGGTCACCAAGAACCCTAACCTTAATTTTTTTCTCTAATTTAGCAATTAAGGCAAATTCAAGTAATTAAACATGAAATTGACTTGAAATTAAATATTCTTGTGGTGTAGGTGAGATTAACTTACCTAAATATGTTCCAATTAAACTTCAAAAGGTGAAGAATTCGAAAATTTCTCCTTCCTCCTTCTTCCCGAAAATTCGGGCTAACCTCCCTTTTTCTCCCTTGAATTTTTCTTGAGTTCTTAGCTTGATATCCTTACTTAGTAGGTTGATTTAAGGTGTGTAGGAGTGATTTTAGTAAATTTTTGATGAGTCTTTGGTGTGATTTTCCTACGGAATTTTTTCAAGAGTTTCCTTTATGTTTTTGTGATTTTTATGCCATTTTCATGCTTGTCTATTTATAGGCAATTTTTTTTTGAAGACTTTTGACTCCATCTCAACCATTGAAATTATGGTTTTTTGGAGTGATCTTGGCCATTGAATTTTGATTAAAGCTTATCCCTCCAAATTGGACAAATTTAGGCCTTTAATTTTTTTCCTTAAACTAAATCCCTCCACCTTGCATGCCTAATAGCCTATCCTTTTTATTTAAGTCAAAGTGCATTAATTGTGGCTCAATCATGGAGCCAAATTTTGGCTAGAGCATGAAGAAAAGCCTAAAAAAATTCTTGAATTTTGGTCCCTCATTTCGTAATCTTTTTCCTTAATTACTCCTTTCACCATCCTTCAATTTGTCAATTGATCACTTCAATCCCTTCCTTAAAAGACATTTTAACAAATTTTAAACTCCTTAGATTTATAGCTAATTTAATTTAGAATTTAAACTTTAAATTTTATGCAATCTAGTCCCCAATTTCTATGCAATTAGCCCGTTAAATCTAAAATTTTATTTTATACTTTTTTTTTAAATTTAATTTCTTTTCATAATAAATTAAAAAATTTATTAAGAGGATTAAATCTAAATTTTCATAATTTTTGGACCTCATATAGGCCTCTAAATGAATTATTTAGTGTGAAAATTAGACTATTTTTTTTTATAGAAAATATTCCTTGCACCTAATAAAATTAATCTAAATTTATTAAGTATTCCTACACATTCCCTAGGATTTTTTGATTCCCTTAAAAAAAAATTCCTCATACTCCTAAGCCACCTAATTTAATTTTTTTTATCTCTAAAAATACTATTCCTACACTTAGAAAATTCAATGAAATATTCACCATATGTAGAAAAATTCAATAAATCATATAAAATAATCTTACACCCTTCTAAAAATTATTCTAAACAAAAAAAATATTTTTCATACACCAACAACATGCTTTAATTAATTTTCTCATGCAATAACTACTATTCATGTACCAAAAAATCACTAAAATATTCGTTAAGCATGGAAAAACTATTTTGACCCTTCTAAATATTCTTTAAATTTATAGTAATTATTTCTCACATATATATATATATATATATATATGTTTTTCACACGATTTTAATATTAAACTTTTATTATATTTCTATTTTAACGGATACCGGGCATTACAATTTCTCCTTGGTGGAGCTTGATTTTTCCTTAGTGTTTCTAGAATTTTTCAAGTTTCTAACCTCTCTTCCATATCCTTCTTGCCCTATTTATAGGAAAATTTTTTCCTTAGGATTAAGCTAAGTGTATCACACTTGGTTTCATCCTAAATAATGGCAATTAATGGCTTCTCTATATTTTTCTTCTTCCTTCCTTTTTTTTTTTTTTTTTTTCTCTTTTTCCTTGATTTTTGTCTAGATATTTTCCTCTTGTTTCTCCTTCCTTTTGCCAACCTAGTTGGCTCTTTTTTCCTCTTCATTTTATAGATTATTCTTACTTGGAATTAGTACGCCAAACTCAATTAATTAGTCTCTCAAATCACTAAAATTTTACACTTTAATATCTAAACTATTAATTAGTGCAATCGACCTCTCTAATTTTAGTTCAAAACTTCTCAACTTCCCAAAATCTAGCTCTTATGCTAAACCCTTTCTAGAGTAATTATTATCCCTAAATTTCCTAATTATTTCAATTGAGGACCTAGGACATTCTCACACCACTCAAATAAGAGAAATTTCCTCTTGTTTCCTAACTAGCTCTTTATAGCTAATTGTTTGTTTCTTAACTTCTTTTTGAACCAAATGTATGAGAGGGCTATTTATACTAGTTAGGAATAAATTCTAGCCACATATTTAGTCTATATCATTAATGAGGTTAGGTGCGAGTTAAGAAAAATTTAGAAATTAAATGAGATATTTTGTACCAAGAGAGAAGAGAATTCTAAAGATAAGATATTTTATAGGAAGAAAGAAGAGAAATTTAGAACTAATATGTTCTACAGTATGAGCTTGAATTTAGGCTAATTTTGGGCTTTTGATTAATTTTGGAGTTAGGGTTAGGTTAACTTGGGCTAAATTAGTGATGATTCTTGATAGGTCTTGTAGACATTTTTATGCAAACCCTACCTTTATATGCATATATAATCTCTTATGCATAAAGATAGAATTCGACTTTTTTTTCCTTGAACATGTCACTGCTTACCTTTTTTTTTTTTTTTTAGGTTCAGTAGTAAAAATGTCATCGGGTTAGATTTTATTAATCATTAAGTCGAAGCGAGTAACGAGAAAATCACTGCTGAGTACATATGGTAAGTCTTGTACTTATCATAAATTAGTCTAAAAATGCATATATACAAATTAACTTTACACACACACATATAAAAAGTTAATTTGTCTATATGCATGTTTAGACAAATTAACTTTACAAGTATATATATATAATTGATGTTTGAAGCTGCCTAATTTATGCGCCATTAACTTATTTACTTATTTGCTATTAATGTGCTTCTTTTTGGAGTTACAATTTTTTTTTTTTTTTTTTTTTTTTTGTAATTGTACAATAATTATATTATTTGAGTATTTTAGCTTGACAATGATTTTTAGAGATTTTATTATTAAAATAATACTAATTAATGAAATGTTGCACTAGATTGAATTAAAGAACAATTACTTGACATCGAATTGAAGAGCAATTACATGACATCAATCCTTCTTATAGTCATCAATGAAATGATCATTACTTGACCTATGTAGTCTCAATCATTAATAATATTTATTAGGGATAATTATTAGAAAAACCCTCTAAAAAAATCTCATATTCAAGAAACTCATCAATTTATTCTTAAATTTCTCAAATTCAAAATAATATTTTTCTTACCAAAACACCCAATAGTTAACCTCTAACTTAACACTAGTTAACTATTAGGTTTTTTGGTAAGAATTTGTTTTTTTTTTTTTAGGTTTGAGATATTTAAAAAATAAATTGATGAATTTTTTAGATAGAAATTTTTTTAGAGTTTTTTTTTTTTTATATATATATATATAGTTTTTATCTAATAATAAACTCATTTCATAGTTTTTAATGAGTTTGATATTTATTTATTTTTTTCATGATCAAGTCAAGTTCTTTTTTTATTGCATTCAAAAGAAGAAAAAAAAGTTTTGGAGGTTCCTTGACTTTTAAACACTAACATTCAACAGTTTTTTTTTTTTTTTTTTTTTTTTTTTATCAAACGTTTGTTTCATTAATTACGAGATTAATTTTACTATCTAGTAACAATAACAACCGAGGTAATTTAACTAATTAATATTGATAAAATGAGACTCTTGTTATTCTCTTGTAATTTAATCTAAGGTTTATCATACAAATAAGAAAAATAAAATATGTATAATTATGAACATTAGTGATTTCTTAAATCTTAATATATTGATAGAAAAAAAAACATCATCGATAATACTAGTTTTTAATTAATCAAAACTCAACATTTTTTATCAAATAATTAAATTAAATTACAATTTGAATGTATAACATATTTTAGTGCATTAATTAAATAAAACATGATCATCCATGATAGAAATACATATCTTGATAGATAATTGTTTCGTTTAAACTTGAGACAATTATCAAAATACCTTCTAAAAAGTCTTCAATCTAAAAAATTCGCTATTTTATTTTTAAATTTTTCAAACACAAAATAATATTTTTAAATCTCACAAGCCTAAAACAATATTTTTCTTACCAAAACAATCAATAGTTAACATTAGTGTTAATTATTAGGTCTATTTTAGTAAGAAAAATATTATTTTGGGTTTGAGAGATGTAAAAATAAATTTATGGGTTTTTTAGATAGAAATTTTTTTATAATATTTTTCTAGTAATTATCCCTATTTATTAATTAAATAATAATTGCATGTCATCTTTATTAAATATTTAAATACCAATTACATGAGATGATTATTTGTTGATAATTAATTAATATTCATATTTATTATAAATTCACTGGCGTTGAAGCTGCCTCCATAAGATGGCGTACGTACATGATAATAATAATAAAGAAAAAAGACATTAATTTACATGTTTTCTGTTGTTGTTTTGGGCTTGGAAACTAAAAGCATAGAGCTAATAGTATTTGTATAGAATACAAATCCTAAAAGGATCAAGATACGTAGAAGCTTACGAAACCAACACATTCAAACCCTTCCTTTATATGCACATATAATCTCTTGTACAGGAAGATAGAATTCGACTTTTTTTTCCTTGAATATGCTTGCAGACTTTATTAATCTTGACGTCGAAGCCAGTACTAAGAAAATCACAGCTGAGTACATATGGTAAGTCTTGTACTTATTATTAATTAGTCTAACCATGCATATAGACAACTTTACAAGTATAGCCATATATATATAAATGTTTGATGCTGCCTAATTTTGTTAAACTTTTGAACAGGATCGGGGGTTCTGGCATGGATTTGAAGAGCAAAGCAAGAGTAAGAAATTTTGGTGTTTTGATGGATTTTTGTGGAAATTTACCTACACATATATAAATTTTATACGTTTTCTCAATCATACTCTTACTCTTGTATTTAAAAAAAAATAATAAAAAATAAAAATCAATCACTATAGCCTTTTCTTTACTTTCATATTGTCTAAAATGCATTAATTCATACTCTCCAAATAGCATTTCAAAAAAAATTGATAGATGTAGACCTATTAGAAAATACGGATAATTAAACAAAAGGCTAGGTTTTTAGTTTTTCTTTTTTTTCTTTTTAATGTTCTGATTGAAATTAATTTTGAAATTATTATGCAACGAAGACTCTTCCGGCTGGTCATGATATCTCTCTCTCGGGTGTTTCCCTCTTGGAACTATGATGGTTTTAGCATAGGTCAGGCTTCTGGAGAAAATAGTGAAGGGACGCTAATGTAATTTTCTTCGTTTTTTCTTTGTATTGTTCTATACAATATTTTTTGTCGTTCTAGTTTTCACATTTTATCTATCGAGTTGTAATTTTTTTCATGTAAAGAAACAGTCCTCAGGCTATTTTCAAGGATCCATTTTGGAGGGGCAACTGTATCCTTGTGAGTTCTAACTTGTCCAAATATATATCCTGGCTTGAATTTTTTTTTTTTTTTAATTGTAGCTTAAAGTTGATGCTCATCATGTGTTTACTCGATTAGGTCATGTGCGATGCTTACGCTTTCGGGAAGTCTGGTCCGACAAACAGAAGGGCTGCTTACCTGATATTACAACATCCTGAAGTTCGTGCTGAAGAGCCCAGGTTCCTTGTCCAAAAACAGTTATACCATTTTATATAAGCAAGTACTTAAGAATAATTATGTGATTAACTCGAAATCTGATTTGGAAAAACCAGGTTTGGTATTGCGCAACAATATACCTTGCTGCAGAAAGATGCTGCATGGCCTATTGGGTTGCCTGTTGGTGGTCATCCTAGTCCTCAGGTAATTAAACACCTTATTTATAAAGGCTAGAAAGATCCATGCTTAGTCTTTTTCTTATAGTTAATTGGATGTTGCAAAACCTTATGGTTTTGGCTTTTCTTTTCTATCCCTTTCTCCTGATTTCAAATTGAATGGTTTCTCATGAGTTGGAAATTGAAAGTTCTGTTTATTCATGTTAGAGACTATTAGAAATTATATTCTAAAGTCTCACTCATCAGTTTAAGTTTTTAGGTGGATTTTTTTTTAATTTGGTATCGAGCTTGGTTAAGCATAAGGCAATGTGGTCATGTACAAGTTTCAACCTCAAATATTGGAGCTTTCACTTAAAGGAGTGTGTTAGAGATTATTATAAATTATATTCTAAAACCTCACCTATCAGTTTAATATTTAACCGTTTAGGTGAGATAGTCTTTTAATAATTCAACAATTTGTTATGGTTCAACAGGGACTACACCACTGTGGTGTTGCTGCTGATAAGGCCTTTGGAAGAGAAATTGCTGAATCACATTACAAGGCCTGCTTATATGCAGGCATCAAGATTAGTAGTTTTAACGGAGGACCTATGCCAGGCCAGGTAAAACAGATCAAAGAATCAACTTCCCTTCTGCTCTTTTTTATTAGTCAATGGTTCTACACATTGAATTCTAATAATTAATTTTTTTCCAAACATTAAATTAATCATTCTCCATCCTATCAGTGGGAATTTCAACTTGAACCTACCGTCGGTATCTCAGCTGGAGATCAATCATGGGTTGCTCGCTACATACTGGAGGTAGTTTACCTATTCGATAAAAAACAGATATAGATACTATAATACTTCCAGTTGACGCATTTGTCTTAAATTTTTAACCTTTTGTTAACCGAGAATGACAGAGATTGCTGGAGTTGTGCTTTCACTTAATCCACAACCTTATCAGGTTAACTTATGCCCTCAATTTTACCTTTATTTGGCAACCCTTTCTTATCAAGAATATTGAAACACTGGATTCCATTACAAGCATCATTTTAGGGACTTCCATCATGTTCTTTTTTTTCCCCCACAGGCCAATTGGGGAGAAACTGGTGCACACATAAATTACAGGTGAATAAATACGATTGGAATGATTTTTTTTTTTTATGTTTTCCCCTCATGCATATATATATAGGCTATTTTTTGCCTCATACATGATAAAAATATTTTACAATGTCTCAGCATGAAGTCTATGAGTCTTGACGAAGACTATTAAGTCCGCGAGAAAGCGATTAAGAAGCTTGGTCTGAGGCACAAAGAGCACATTGCAGCTTATGGAGAAGGCAATGTGAATAGACTGACTGGAAGACTCGAAATAGCTAACATGGACACTTTCCTGGGGGTAAGAAAAATTGGCCAAAAATAGAACTATTCTAATGGCTTGGATCGTACGTCTTATTTTTCTCTGGATATATAATAATTTCTCTTCGTTAATAGGATCCTGTGAACAGTCGTGCTCTTATTCGTGTTGGAAGGGGTGGAAGGTTTGAGGACAGGAGGCCTGCTTCCAATATGGATCCATGTGTTGTGACTTCCATGATTGCCGAAACCACCATCCTTTGGAAACCATAAGCACTCCAGATAACCAGTTTTGCTTTCTTATAAAAGAAGTGAAATTTTAATATATTAGTAGCTAATCACGTGCTCCTCACGTGATTCACATTGTTTTCTTTTAATATTATTGACTTCACTATCATTTATTTTTCTTTCTCTTTAACTTTTTCTACAATGATGTAATAATTATTTTTGATATTTTTTTCTTTTTTTTTCAATAATATTGCATAATAAGTTGACAACGATGATAACTTCCAAAATATTTCTAAGAATAATTACATAAAAATTTCACAATGTCATTATTACTAAACGAGGTATATGTTTCCTATTTTGATTAAAAAAAACATAAAGTTATTAGATTAATCTCTTTTTTATTAAATCTTTTTTTTTCTTTTGAAAAATAATCTTAATTTTCCACCATTAACATTTTGACTTATAAGCATTATTTGCAATTTTTAAAGTTTCATTGATTAATACATAAAACTTTGAAGGAACAATGTATCTCAATATATATATATATATATATATATATATAAGAGAAAGTAGAATTAGACCGGGAATATAGTACGAGAGAAAGGAATGCGTGTCTTCTTCCTCTTCTTTCTTTCTTTCTTCTTCTTCTTCTTTTTTGTTTTTTTGTTTTTTTTTAAGCAATTCACCATCTACTACCTTGAAAAATATTTCTCCTGATCAGCTTCAAATTTTGCCCATAAATTTTCACATCTCTCTCATAAAAACCCAATGAATACTAATTGATGGACATTATAAAAATATAAAATGGTAAAATAGAAAAACAATTCTTCTTTTCAATCTTCAATTTAAAGCATACAATAATATTATATTTTTGTCTATGCTAATTTTTAATTTTTCTCAAGTTAATTATATAAAAACATATTTGGTTTAAATTATTAAATTATGATTGTCAGTTCTTCTGTAATATCCTTAACCAATATATGGGGGGGGGGGGGGGGGGGGGGGGGGGTTGGGGGTGGTTTGTGGGGGAAAGTTTTTATTAACGCACAAATATTTGATTATGAAGTAATTAGTTAAGTTAAATGTGTGAATTAATATTATGTGTGCATAAAATATTATTTTTTTAACAAACATTATGAAATAAAGAGAAAATAAATAGGAAATTATATAGTTAAGAATAGATAATTAATTTTTGGATAATAACTTTTAGATGCTTAATTAGATGATTTTCAGAGAGGTGATTATAAGGGTAAAAGCTTGGCCTATTTAATTTAGATAATAGAGGGAGCCAAGAGACCCACATTAATTTAGAAAATTAATTTGAAGGAGGGCTGAAATGTCATAAATAAAGGAGGGAAGCTGAAATTTTGAGGGTATAATTGAATTAAATTATAAGAGTCAAAGACTAAAGTGACAAATTGTGACAATATGGAGAGACATTTGAACAAGCCATTCGGCTAGAATTTGTTCAGAAATTTCAGTTTAGAAATTGAAATTCTTAGGCTGGATCAGCCAGCCAAAAACAAGAGAAATAGAGTGGAAATGATAAGGAAGGAAGGATTATGAAGGTTCAAGAAAAGATCTAAAGGATTATAACATAGCTAAGGAATTAAATTTCAATTCCTTTCATATATATATATATATATATATATATATATATATATATATATATATATATATATATATTCGGCCAGTTGTAAAAGAGATGAGAGTGATGAACAATCAAGGTTTGGAGGAAACTAAAGTGAGAATTAGATAGAGATAGAGGAAATTAAGTTAACCCTTCCCTATTTCTACCTAAAATCAACACTTAGCCACCCATAAAACCTTATTAGAAGACTTAAGGAAGCAAGCACAAGGAGAAGGAAGAAAAGGGATCTTGGTCGAAACCAAGAGGAAGAAAAAGAGGAGAAATTTTGTAAGAATCAAAGAAAACTAAGCATCAAGAATAATTAGGTAAGTGTAATCTCACCTATACTATAAGTAGTTTAATGATTTGTATGATTAATTCCTTTCCTATATATATATATATATATATATATATATATATATATGCAACAAACAAGTTCTTCTAGGATAAGGAGTTATAACGTATATGACCTTTGTTTTATCTTATCTCATAAACTCTAAACCTTATCCTTTTACTTTCAAAATTATTCTTTCATTTAAAATACCTTGCGAGCTTTTACTTAAGCATGTGGACCCAAACTTCTTTGGCTCGATAACTCAACAGTTAATTTGGATCATCTAAATAAGTTGGAATTAAGTAATTTAAGGGAGGCCCACTTCAAGAAATAATTTTTTAAGTTATCCTTGCATTTGATTAAACCTAAATTAGAAAATTGATTTTTATTTTAGGAATTGATTTTCAATATGGGAAGCTAATTTCTATTTTAGAAAATTGATTTTCAAAATAGAAAATTGATTTTCGCTCTAGATAACCGAATTTCAAATTAGAAAACTGATTTTTAAATTAGAAAATTAATTTCTAAAATAGGAAACTAATTTTCAAAATAGGAAACTTTTTTCAAACTTTTTGCTTCTTCTTTTTATGTGAATGTTTAAATTTATACGTGTGACTCAATAGACTCTTAGATATGTTGGTAATATATCTAGAGGTAAAAGATATTTCTTTCGAGTTCTCGATAGATAATCAAGATTAGCCTTTAATAAGGCATCATGACTATCTAATTCTCAATAAGGATATCTTAATACACAATAACCTTTTACAAGCATGATTTGCATACAATTCAACCCCTTGTCAATCGATCATAGTGTAATCTCGAACTTGTTTTATTATTTTTTCAATTACAATCACACAAGTTCTCTTCAATCTCAAAATATCTTAGCTCTCAAGTAACTAATCATGCTCTATTGGTATACTTTCACTATGGCTATAAATTCTTGAGTGGACATTCATCAAAGTATAATCCGATAACTTCTTTAGTATATAAGGAATAACATGTCTTATCTTAATCATCCACCTATCTTCACTAGATTCCTAATGCACCTAACAAATCGCTTACATGTAGCTCTTTATTGAGTCCATTGAAACAAATGTTAAAGTACATCAACCCTCTAATGAGATAACCGTGATAACTTCAAGTCAAATGACTATTTGTACCCATCTCATATGAGATTCCCATAGACTATACCAAATGGGTTCTCATAGCGAGTCATGTCTAATGATATGTTCTCTAATATTATTTACATGTGTGCTTACTTTAGCATCACCATGCCGGTAAATATGAGATTTCATATTGCTATCTTATAGTAAAAGCATAATACTCACAAGTTTTACCACATATTGCTAATTTTCAACCGACAATGTTATGACTTGAGACATTTAATGATATCATTTATGTGTATTGAAGTTTGTCTCATATCTATTGATCAATCATTAATGTAATGCATATCATATGGACTTCTATTTGATTCTTTCAAATTATAAATAACAAGAATTAATAGAAATTTTTTTTTTAATATTAAAAGTGCAATAATATGATATATCAAACCATCCAAACAGATTGAATCTTAAATACTTGCACTAACGAGTTCACTTCTTCGACCACCATTCGACGCGTGGATGGTAGGGTTGGATTCATTTCAACTTTCTTTTCATGTTAGTGGTAAGCTGTATTGGCCACCACCGTCCGTGGAAGAGATCATCGATGGCAAAGATTCAGCCACCTTCCTCCCAATTTAATGGCTTCCAAGGCTTCGAATCGGACTATAAATGCTTTTGGGATCTACTAGAGCTTCAATTTAGTCATTGGGTGGTTTAATTTGGCTGGAAAATGGGAGATTAAAATGAGTTTAAGCAACAGTGTCGGGTTTGTTTTTCCGAACCAAATTCTAGCCTATTTCACCTTTTTGTCCACAATTTCAAACTTGGGGAGGTTACTAGAGGCGGGAGGAGCAAGTCCATGGTGGTGGCTACCTTTGATTTGGTTGGAAAATGACCGATTTGAGAGGAAAAGAATCCAAGTCCGGTAAAGTGGATTATGTTTCATATCCCGGCATCCTCCATCATTTTTTATCATTCCATATGGTTGGGAAAGGTGAATCTAAGGTCGGGCTACAAGATGGTGATGGTTATTAGGGGTGGTGTTGGCCAAAGAGTGGTGGTTTTGGGGGAGAAGGTCGACTGGTCCGAGGTTTAGTTGTGGGTTAGGGGCTATTTGGTTGCTCCTTCTTTTCTTAAGGGTGACAACTTCCTCCTCCTTTTTTTTTGTTAGAAAGTGGTGGTTTTATAAGTAAGGTTTGATTGGTGAAAAAATTAAATTTGATCCCTTATTTGTCCATTTCTTTCAATTTCGGTATACATTTCTTTATTTTTTTACCAAACATGTCCTTAAAATCAAAATTGTCTAGTCCCCATTCTCTCGATTTCTTTTAATTGAATCCCAAATAATTTTCTCTTTTGAATTTCCTCTCTTTTTTTGTTTCTTTTTTATTTTATTTATTTAATTAAAATTAGGAAATAATTCTAAGAAATTAAAATTTTAAAAATGTATAAAAAATATATAAAAATCATAGAAAAATTAAGTAACTATGCAATATGCAATTTTTTTGAGTTTTTTTTTTAATTTTGTATAAAAATAAAAATTATGAGGGTAAAAAATGGGTATGAAAACAGATACTTAGAAAGTTAAGAGATATTTATCATGAATTTATATTTTATAATAATAAATATTTTTAGACTAGTTTGTGCATTAATTGAAATTTAATCTTTTCTCTAGACTATCTTAACAAAGCTTCCTCACATCAATATGATGTATTTATAAGAAATTTATTAAATTTCTTTTGGTTCTTATTTGAATTCAAAAGGTCACAAAGCCAACGTTAAAATATCTTCTTAACCATCAGGTTAATTCTTTAGTGTTAAAAAAATCGTAAATAGTCTATGCAAATATTGTTTAAGAAAATTTTAAGAATTTAACCCCTAATAATAATGTCCATGATCCAACGAGAAGCTTTTTTTTTTTTCAGTTAAATATCATACTTCTTTAGAGTAAATTGCAAATTAGTCCCTCTTGTTTTGAGAAATAAATTAATTAATCCATTTGGTTTCAAAAATTAATTATTTGATCTTTTTAATCAATATTGATCACAACTAATTTTATATTTTATATTTTATAAACTGTCTATTTTTCATTAATCTTTTTAAAGTTTTACTTATTTTTTATTCCTTTTCCATTTCTTAAAAAAATCAAAACAAATTGAAAAATAACAAAAAAGACTAAATAATTAGTTTTTAAACTAAATGGACTAATTAATTTATTGCTTGAAACGAAAGGGACAAATTTATAATTTACTCTACTACTCTATCTAAATACTAAATATTCAAAAAAAAAAAAAAACACATGTCCATGCCAGGAAAAAAGGAAAAAAAAAGAAAATGCAAGTCTAAAGAAATAATTCCATCGTTGCTCTCATTATTTATGTTTTCCATCCTTGTTTTTAAGCCAAAAAATAATAATAAACACATGGCAGCCAAGTTTTTAAGGAGAACCCATTTTCTTTCTCAAAGGTTCTCTTCTTCTAGTGAAATTACAAGAGGAAATACCTTGCCCAAATTCATTCCCCAGTATGTATTTTCTTGTGTTTTTAACTTTTTCTTGTTGAATTTCATTTTGATTCTTTTGGTAATTTGACATTCATGGTTATTGAAAGAAATATAGTCATTGGAATGAAGGGTTCTAGTGGAATAATGGTGAACTGTGAAATTCAAGCCTCAATTTCTGCTGTCGGATTTGGATGCAATAAAGATTGGTAATTTGACATTCATGGTTATGGAGGGTCAAAAAAGCAATTTCAGGTAAAAACAATTGCCACACAGTGAATAATGATTGGTGAAGCAATGAATAGTAATTACTAATCTTTTTGTTAACGTTTCTCAGGTCAAAAAGCTAAATCATCCCTCTATTTTTATAATTTTCTTCATGTGACTCTCTATTAATTAAATTTTTTAATGTAGCCATCCTACTTATATTATGTTCATCAAGGAAGTCCATCGATCTAAATTTAAAAATTAAATGCTGACGTGGATAAACAAGTGGAGACCAACTGGTCAGTTTCTCTCTCCCAATCCAAGATTAAGTGATACTTAGTTGTGTTTGATCAAATTAAAAAAGTGATATAATATTTGGGAAAATCAAAACATAAGAAAATAGAAATAAGGAAAGCACAATTTTTCTGGTAGTATAATCAAAGAGCAAAACATGATTGTAGAATCACGAGTAAGTAGTTTCCCCTCTGTACCAGCAAGCGACAACAATCCCTTGTGTAAGGATGAAAATGAGTTTTATTCCATTTGATAAATATCCAATAAGTATTAAAATAATAAAAACTTATATATATATATATATATATTTGTTAATATAATTTTAGAATATGAGTATCTACTCTTTATCCTATTAATATCCACTAATTTATTTTGATTTTTTTTCAAATATACAAGGATCTAATTATATAAACTTTAAAAATTAAAGACCAACATATTTTTTCTAAAAACTTTGAAGACTAAAAACATTTATAAAGAAATGATTAAAATAAAAAAAAATAACTTTTAAGGACAAAAATTTTTTCTTGAATTTACAAGGATTGAAATGAAATATTTTTGATAAATTATTTTTAACGGGTATTAAATAGATAGGAAAACAAATATGAATTGAGTATGAGTTATATAAAAATTTATATGATGATTTCTTAATGGATAATACGTAGAGTATTTTTTTATGGGTAACCAAAAAAAATTGAATTAATCTGTTGCCATCCCTACCCTTGTACAAATTTTGAAGAACTATTAAAATTGAAACACAATTTATACTTTTTAAGAAAATTTTAAAATAAATTAGTTAATCTTTTGTCGACCTTACAACCATTTTGAAGAGCCCACAACACACTAGGAAAAAAAAAAAGTTACGCAACAATTTTGATTTGTGGGTTAAAAATGAGTAATTTTAATTCTTTTAATCAGTTTATTGTACATCATTTAGAAAAAAAATTAATTACTCAAACTCATTAATGCTGTATTATCATTCTATAAGAGTTTTTAGTAATTGTTTACATATTTTAATTTTTTGCTAATTGACAATATAGTTATCGTTTATTGTGAACTTTCCATGGGATTTAAAATATAAATAAATAAAATTTTGTTCATTTATATAAACAAGATTAAAATTTAATATTATATAAAGATTACATTATTGCTGTGTATTTTTTTTAATCTTATATTATTACATAAATTATATGTTTTATTAGTATCATTTCACCCCTACAGTATTAAATGCCTTTGTCCTTTTGTTTTTTTTTTTTTTCTTTCAATCTCGCCACTGCCTCCTTTTCTTTTCTTCTTCTTCTTCTTTTTTTTTTTTTTCCTTTCATTTTCAATCTTCTTTCTTGTTATTTTTTTTTCCAGCTTTGTCTCGATTTTTTCTTTTTGTTGTTTTTTTTTCTTGCATTATTTTTTTTTATATTTCATCTTAATTATTTTTATTTTTAATTTCTTTTCCTATAAATTAAAGAAAAATATCAACATGTTTTAAAATCATAAAACTAATTAAAAATTATGAAAAATCATAGATCTTTTGAATAAAAAAAGTTTTATGAATTTTTTTTTAGATTAAAAACAGGTTATGCCTATTATGATATGAAAAATGTCAAAATCATTAAAAAAAAAATCCAAAATGCATTAATTTGATGCTTTTTAGTTGAAAATGATTTTTCCAAAACTTTTGTACTGCATTATCAAACAAACTCTAAGCATCCATGTTAGCTATGCATGCAATCAGTTACTTTTCGTTATGAGATGAATTTTTTCATTCACGTGGGGTATATATCATTAGACATATTGTCTTAGACTTATTTTTTCGACAATCTATCAATTTATTTTTCTTAAATAATTTATTTTATGATATGGGCTCTGCATGAATATAAAAAATCATTTCATAAATAAAAAATATTTAATTATATCATATCTACATTCATAGTATAATCGAGATTTGATATAAGTCAGCAATTGGGTTAATCCGATAAATTTCGAAATCACAATGATTAATTGAACAAATTCAAGAAGACAAGAATTAATTGACCAAATTAAAAATACATGGATAAAAATGAATAATTGATACAAATATAAGGATAATCTTAGGGGTTTTATTTAGAGGAAAATAGTTAAAATATTAGTAATGATCGGAAAAAAAAAAATTGTATTTCGAGAGGGAATGGAAAGAAGCTTAAAGAATTAAGGGGTAAAATTTAACCTCTAGTTTGGCCATTTTGAGGCTAAATTTTGCCCTCCCTCAAAAAGTCTTTATCACCAAATATTCTTAAATTTTACTTCCATACCAAATATACCCTTAAGAAATCATAATAATATATTTATTATTATTTCTTTCTGGTTAAATATCATTTTTCTCTATCCAAAGGAAAAAAAAAAAAAAAACAAGAAGCAACTGTTTATTCTCTCCTTTATTGTTTTTAGGCCAAACGAGCCTCTACTGTGCTCTCCAAGTCTTAACACAGGGTTTAACAAAACAACAGTATTTTCAGCATAAACCCCACAAAAAACCTCTTTCTGTATAATTAACAGAGAGAGATGTATATGAGACAATTGGCAGCCAAGTTTTTAAGGAGAACCCATTTTCCTTCTCAAAGGTTCTCTTCTTCTAGTGAAATTACAAGAAGCAATGCCTTGCCCAATTCACTCTCCAGTATGTATTGTCTTGCGTTTTTAACCTTTTCTTGTTGAGTTTCATTTTGATGCTTTTGATTTCTAATAGCTGAAAATTTCTTGGCTTTGAACAATGGGCCATTGCTGTTTTTATGAACTTTTTATTTCTTTTGGTGCTTGGATGCCATAAAGATTGGTAATTTGACATTCATGGTCATTGAAAGAAATATGGTCATTGGAATGAAGGGTTTCTAGTGGAATAATGGTGAATTGTGAAGTTGAAGCCTCAATTTTTGTTGTCGGCTTTGTGCCAATTCATTGACATGCTTCTTGTCATGTATAAAGTCCATGAAATTCAAAAGCTTTATCACCATTTGTTATGATAAAAAGGAGTAAAATTTGCAAAGGAAGAGGGTATTATGCTAAATTGTTCTATCTTGCAGTTCTTACAAAGACGACCTTCTCCTTGTTTCATTACTTTAGAACAAAATATACTCTTGCTGATGGCATTAAAACTATTTCAACTTCTGAAGTAATTTGTTTGATTGTGTCTTGTATATAAGTGTATCAGATAATCTTTGCAGTTAATAACTTTTGCAATCCTTAACATCCTTTTGTTGTTCTTTCAGGTAAAACAAGATGTTCCTACAAATATGGTTCTGGAGGATCTAGTTGGAGGATGAACTCTAGGGGTCGTTATCTATGGACTATTCTAGCTGGACAAGCTGGTATACTTCTGTCTTACTGGGCTTTTGGCTATTTGATTTTTCAGTTCATTGCATTAGCATTTATAGTAGCTCATGATTTTGGGACGTGATTCGCAATTCTGTATCAAAATGATGCAAATAAAGTTTACAAGAAAATGGCACACTGGGTTTTAGAAAGTTAATTTTATCTGTCATTGGGGTAAGTCTATGACACATCGGTAATGGTGCTGTTATGTTTGCAGCAATAATTCTTGGGATAAATGCCAAACCTGTCTTAGCAGACGAGCTCCGTGAAAGCAGTTCAGAAAATGACTCAGATGCGGATGACATGTTTGGGTTTCGCAAAATTGAGGACGGTTCTGTAATATCAAATGAACATACAGCAAAATGGAGGATTTTTTCTGATAAAGGGAGGGAAGTCTTCCTGCAGGCAAGCTTGTTTTGCTACATGCCCTGGTTTTTTCATTTCTTTCATTTGATATCATTACTCATAATTTAATCAAATCTGGTCTGTTATTTATACAGGGAAAATTGGATCTAGCTGAAAAGTTCTTCTTTTCTGCTCTACAAGAAGCTAAAGAGGGTTTCGGGGAGAAGGATCCTCATGTTGCCTCATCTTGCAACAACTTGGTAGATCCACTATTTAGATGCTTTCAATAGTTTAGAGGTGGTTTTAACGGAGTTGTTCTTTTATTAAATATGGTTTGAAAATTGTAGTGAATTAGATTTTAGATTTGACACTGTCCGTGCACTCCTTCACTGGAGTTCTTTATTTATTTATTTTTTCTTTTATAATTCACGTCTAGGTCACAGTTTTTCTTTCCTTGTTTCTTATTAAAAGAAAAAACAAATATCAATTCTTTTTTGATATGTCTATAATCAGGCACATATAAGTTGATAATGCTCGGAATCATTTCTGCTGTCAAACCAGTCATTGATTGAAAAAGTTAACCAAATCATGGCATATTTTGCATGTAAGAAGTCATTGTTTCACCTTGCTTTTGTTTCAGGCAGAGCTATTTAGAGTTCAGAAGCAATTTGATAAAGCAGAACCTTTGTATTGGGAGGCCATCAAAATTCTGGAGGAATCTTTTGGGCCAGAAGACATACGGTATAGCGTTATTATTTGGGAAGTAGGACAAGCAGTTTTCTATATCAATTTCAATTATCATAAATAGTGAACTCCCTTGAATCTCTTGTGATGCTTGATTGCCTTTGTATTTAGTTTCTTAAGCAACAGTGTTTGTATTTGATTAACATTGCTAAAAAATGAAGACTATTTATAGAATTTAAGAAGGAATTGAGACTATCAATGTAGCGAATACAGGATAAAACTAGACAATTATATATAAACACTATGTTTTTTCCTTTCTAGACATTTCAGTTATGGTAGCCAACCAAATTGATAGGCAATGATCATATATAGACATTTAGGCCCATACCCATGGATATTTGTATTGGTGCATCACCACCTTCTATTCATTCAGTTCTTGCCTCTCTCTTCAACTCTGACTGGAATTTACATTATGTTATTTTGGAAAGATAAAGTAAGGAGAGGGTGGATTGGTATAAGAAGGAAGGATGAAGAGAATGCTGGAGAAGTGACCCATTCTTCTAGTTGTCTTTTTTGGTTAGCAAGGAAAAGAACAGAAGGAGAGAGAAGGGAAAGATTAAATGAGTGTTAAACTAAGAAAATGCCTCCTCAGCTCATGTATGCTCTGGCAATACTCCCAATTTAGGACTAAAAAATGTGAGAATGGAAGAAAGTAATGGATTCTTTTACTCTATCTGTGGGTATACACTTCCAACCAAATGTTGTTAGCGCCTCTTTTGTCACCTCCAATCCTTTCTTTCTCCTTTCCACCCAAGCACACATAGTGCTAATGGTTAGAGTTGCATATGAATCTACGGCTAATAATTTTGCAGTTCATTAATTATATAAACAATAGATCAGTTGGTCCCTTGTTATGATTGATTGAAGGACCATAGATCAGTGGCTTTTGGCTTGGTAAATAACTGAACAATGGCCTCCTCTATTATTGTGTCATTGTTGCTTACAAAATCACTCCATCTTGTTGTTGCACAGTGTGGGTGCTGCGCTTCACAACCTTGGGCAATTTTATCTCATGCAACGGAAACTGGATGAAGCTGCTAAGTGCTATGAGGTGAAAGTATTTTTCATATCTCGTCTTTGTTTGTTTGCAGATTCATGAATTACAAGGTTCATATGCACTTACTGGTTAAATTTTTGGATTTCTGCAGGTATTTTTTTCTTTCCACCCAGTTTAAGAAAAATCTTTGTTGGACATATTTTTCCTTCAGCAACATTCAATCCTTAGTATGCCTTAGTCGTAGCAGAATGAAGAGTGAAGCACTCATTAAGTGTAGACGGTTCCCTTTTTTGGCGATGAAACTTGGTGTGATTGGTTATACAAGTCAAAGATCATGCTAATTAAAAACACAAGATAAGAGAGTTTGGTTGATTGGTTTGGCCATCTAAGAAAGGTACCAATTACTGTAGTGACTAATTAACCAGTTTCTTAGGATGGAGAGGAAGGGAACTATTGTTTTTGAGGCTGAGAAAAGAAAAGAAAATAGTGGCCTAGATTGAGTGCATTTTGAAAAACTCTGTAACCATGTAATTGACTGAGAGCTTTATTAGTTACATCATTAGGCATATCATTTCTTTAGTGGAGGTACTTGATTGTTGAAATATGTTCTGTGGTTTGGTATTCGCAATTTGAGTGTCCTCTCTTAGAGAGGGAAATAGGTAATTCAAAGAGCATCTACTGTAGTGACAGATATTAGACTTATAATCGATTGCACTGTAACTTTATGCTTTTCTTAATAACACAGAAGCTTAATTGCAAAATAGCATTTGAATGGAACTAGCATTCTGGGGGACCATGTACGTGTTGTGTGCACTAAATATTTCTGTTACTGTTTTTCTCTCCTTCTATTTGTCTTTCTATTGTAACTCTTTTTATTAATCTACTCAAGAATGTTCTTTTCAGTCAATGAATAATGTTTTTCTGCTACGTATACTGATAATTTCTGCTGATCTGTTTTCTGCCCTTTGATTTTCCTATGGCAGCATGCTATGAAGGTATGGACAAGTACTTTACATCTATATATAGCATGCATGCATGCTTCTCTTTTATCCATTTTCAAATTTCAATTAGCTTTGCAGCTTTTATTCTTTCTGCTTCTTTCTTCCATTATCAGTTCCAACCTTGAACTTGTAACGCTTAGTGTAGCTTTGTCATGTTCAGATAAAAAGGCGTGTTTTAGGACTCAATCATACAGACTATGCTGATACACTGTATCATCTCGGAATGGTAATATCTATGTTGTTTTGTTGTGTGTGCTACAATCTATATGAGAGCTCACTTTAATATCATTATGCTCATTGTCCTTTTCACTGTTGATGGTTTCATGCATTAGAGAATGTACATGTTTTCAATGGACAATATCTTATAAAAATAGTTGACTGTATATATATATATATATGGAGTAACAAACTGTTAATGACGTTCCTGCATAATTGGTTATGTAAAATAGTAACTGGAAGACAGTAAATGCTTATAAATCAGTTTATGACCTGGTTAACAATAATTAACTCATTGTTGGATATTTTTATCGATATTCTAGCCTTCCATTCATTATACTTAATTAAAGGTTAATTTCTTTCAATTTTAGTTTTGTTTCAGATTACATTGGTTCACAAGTTATATCTTTGAAACCAATTTCCACAAAGAAGAAAAAAAGGGATCATAATTCAAATACCTGCAATCATAGATTGTTTCAAACACTCTATGGTGAAGAAAGAGAAAATTTAAATTTCAAGCAGTGTCCCCTTGTCTTTTAGAATAAAAATTTCTTCCTTTTGTCTCAATGGTTCTTTAAACTATGTTCTTCTTCTTCTTTTTTTTTTCAATCTTTTGGCCGTGTGTGCTTCCGTATGTCATTACTGTTACAGGTGCTATATCTCCTTGGAAAAGAGAAGGATGCTGAAGCCCTTATTCAGGAATCTATTAAGATATTAGAGGTGCATGACTATGCTGCTCAATTAGTCCTGGTACTGGATTTCCAGATATTGTTTTATTTAATTTATTTCTCTTGCTGCCATGTCTTCTTTGATCATACAGGAAAATGGCCTGGGGGATTCAATTACTTGCATAAGGAGATTGCAATATCTCTCTCAGGTTATGTGGTTCCTTTTTATATACATAGCAGATTTTTCTATCATGTTAGCCTTTGTGATTAACGATTAATTCATTTTGCTGTACCATGTCTTTCAAGTTCAACTTATGCAGTACTCTTTACCACTTGCAAATAGGTTTATTGTTTCTACCACACGATACATTTGTGTGGCTACTGGATTTCTCAACCTTCTTGTATAGTTCACTTATGTTCTCTTTTCTTTTCTAGATGTATTTAAAATCCAATCGTCTTCCTGAAGCCGAGAATGTACAAAGGAAGGTGCTGCAGATTATGGAACTATCAAAGGTGCAATATATTTTTTCTTTATTTTTTTATGTTAAATTGTTTATTGCTGGTTTTTTTCCTGCTAAATCATTCTTTCAGGATGCTGCTTTTCTCTGCTTTCTTTTTTTTATTATTATTTTTTCCCGCATGTCTTGTTCTTACCGATTTAGTTCCTTTAGACCTTGATAAGGCATTGAATTACAGCATGCTTTGTCGAAGCTAGCAAAATGCAACTGAAATATATTATTTCAGTATTCATCTACGATGACACGTGTCCATTTCTTCTTCATTTGCCTTGGTTTATCACTTATTTTTTGACCTTCCATTTTAACTACCACAGTGGAATAGAAATTTCTTTGCCTCCTCTCACCCCAACACCACCACCACCACCACCACCACCATCCCCCCACCCCACACACACACACAATGGCACCTGGTATCTTGTTTTTTCCTTGGTATAAACATGTTGCTTTATGGAGTTCATGCATGCTTTGCTTCCCAGGCCATGCATGAGTATTAGCTCATGTACATGTCGTACTTGGGTTTCATCTCCTTACACGTCTTTTTGTATGTTTATTCCAAAATAAAAAAGTAAGTTAGATAAAGAAGGGTCAAAAGAAATACATGACAGGAGAACATGGCGTCGTTCTGTTGTACTATAGGAAAAGAAAACAAAACAAAACGAAACTAGAGTAACAATGCACTAAAAATTATTCCCTTGCTGCCTTTGGATTTATCAAAGCCCAACATCTGTATCAAAGCACCATCAAGAAGCTAAGAAATTATTCTCTTGGATCAAAAGGTGAGATAATTTCTTAACTTTGAAGATTTTAGAAGGGTCAAACCAAATGCACCAGCAAACACTGCATGTTTTTGCAGCACCATGCAGTGTTACTTTAGATTTACCAAACAAAAGCAAGTCTTCCGGAAATATGGGCACAAATGATTTTCCAAAGTTGAGAAAAACATTGACCTGCCAGAGTGACTCACATATTTTATGCTGTTAGTGCAATTCCACAAGCATCTGGAGACAGTGCCATATTAGTCCTTCTTATCTGCAATAAGTAGCTGTAGTATCTTGTTGAGGACTGCAGACTGAATAAAAACACTATGACAGTAGTGGGTATCTGGCGTTCCATGAAAAATTGGCTAAAGGAAACCGGGAAGAGAAATATTAGATTAAGTTCAAAAAGATTATTATGGCTGGTGCTTGTTTGTCTACTATGTTTGAAAGAAAGTGATATACATGTGCATGCATCCTATTATCACTTTTTCTTGTAGGAATTTGTTATAGAAGATTAAAATTTTGCAATGACATCCCATCCTTAAAGACCTTCAAGATTTTGCGAGGAAAAAACCTGTTGGCCATGAATCTAACTAACTATCAAAATGAGGAGGTTTATCTTTCTTACTTTACAATTTTGTGTTGTCATCATTAGTTCCTGATCTGATAGCTACCTTTTAATGCAGGGATGGAATTCCATGGACACAGTAATAGTAGCTGAAAGGCTGGCCCTGACCCTACAGTCAATTGGGCAGATAAAAGAAGCAAAAGAACTACTTGAAAGGTGAGAAAAATAATTAGGACAACTGTAAAAACAAAAGATGTGATTGTTGGCAATGCAAATAAACTTATATCTTATAACTTTTTATTGCAGGTGTCTTGAGGCTCGGAAGTCCTTACTTCCTGAAGATCACATTCAGGTTTATCATTCTGACACATTCAACTCATAAATTATAAGACAAAAGAAAAGGAGCTGACATCATTTGGATGAGTAATCATAACCAAAGGATGTGCTTTAATTTTTCACTGCTTTATGATAATCAAATTTAGCTAGCATGTGTTTCATACAAGACTTGCTTCTGTTTTCGGTGGACAGATTGCTGCAAATCTGCTTCACATTGCAAGGGTTGCAATGTTGAATTCAAATCGATTGAGAAGGTTAAATATTTCTGAAGCCATTGCGGAGCTTGACAAGGCAAAAGATCTTTTGCACAGTTCTACTAGGTTTGCTGTATTCTATAGTAAATACTCACACAAACAGTACCCCTATGATTTTAGAATGGCCTGATCATTTTTTTTTTTTTTATGTACTTTTTTGTTCCTTTAATTAATCATGCTTAATAAGCACAGGATATGGTAGATGTTACTTTAGATTTCATTGTGGAGCAATCACAACAAACAAGCAACCATGGGGCTTCTCAACTGGGTTTGAAAAATTAACTACTTCAATTTTCTGGATATTGTCCTAATATGGAATGAATTTGTTGCCTGAGAAGTTTAAAAATCATTGTTAAAGTTAAATGCAGACATTTAAGGTTGACTATTTTCAAATTTCTGTCATCTTAATTCAATACAATTGCTTTATTTTATTGGTTTGTTGCTGATGGTTAGCCCTTGTTGAAATTGGACATAAAAATGGCTTCTTACATAGCAATCTTCAGGAATAGGTATATATTGGAAAACTCCTACATAGTTCCCGAGGGGACTTGTGTTTGAGTAGATGATAAAAGACTTAACCAAAAATCATACAATGTTTCTTTTTGATAAACAAAGTGGCTTGATAATCTAGGGAGGTATACACATTTAGTTGGCTAATTTTTACAAGCATTTTTATGCTACTTCTGAGTGTTATTTGTTAAATTTCTAATTTAAAAAGGGAACGTATGTATTTCCTTGTACTGGCTTTGCTAAGGCAACTTCTATTAGTATCATCTCCAAGCAGTGTAGGTTCTTACAAATTAGTCATATTCAGTTACGTTCCCATGATAGGATAGCACGGCAAGTCTTAAATAAATTGAGAGTACAAAAAGGGAAAAAGCAAAAGAATGGAGCATCTGAAATGAAAAGAGAGGGGCATGCGGCATTGATCATACTGGTCAGTTCCTCTCATTCTGAAATGCATGCATACTTGGTCAAGGAAAATGTTTTGTCATATAAGAGCTGCTGATGTTATTCATGTCCTTCAATATTTGATCAACTATTCCTTGTTTAAAGTTATTATGATTTGTTACTTCTGTTAATAATGTAGCAGAAGGCTTACTATATAGGTTAAAAGTTTCTTTTTATTTTGTACATTCTCGCTCTTACAGACCAAAAATTGTGCAAAACTGGGTATCATACTTCTTCATATGGAAATTGAAATCTTTGAACTCAAGATTGATTATATTGGAGTTTCAATTGATTTGCCCCTGAGGAACTAGTTTCTCTAAATAATGAAGAACTACAATCATATATTCATAACCTACAAGAATCATCTTGTGGCATTACTATTAAATGTCTATTTTTATTTTTACTTTCTTTTATTTGTTAAGATCTCCTCAGCAGCACACATAATAATCTGGTACTATGTGTGTGACACGTGGGATAGTGGGGTACTCTCTGGTAATTCCACCATGGTGATATGTCTGGCCATTGTAATTTCTGTCATAGTTTACTTGCCTTGATTATCATCTCCGTATAAACTGAAATACAAGGTGCATCAAGGGGAACCATTTGTAAGCCGATTGTGGATTCTGGCATATTTGAATTTATAGTTGACATTCTGGAAATTTTTAAAATTTATCTTAAGTGAAGTTAAATGTAAAAGAAGAGTCATCTCATAAACTTGAGAAATACTGGCCATTACTAAATTGCGAACTGTTGGAAGTTATTGACCCTACATTTTTTTGAACTTTGTTGCATTTGCTAGCATGTTTCTATTTTATTCTGTTCTTTCTATTGCAAGCATTAAGCCTTCCTTTTCTTTTTCTTTGTCATCTTCTTTATCACCACCCAATTAGCATGCAAGGAAAGAGCTTGTGCTAAATGAATAAAGCCAAAAGAGCTAGCAATTCCTTTCTTCCCACCCGGATCAGGATTCAGGAATGGGACCTGGCCTGCTATCTTGATAGGAAAATTTGGATTTCGGTTCTCGTTTGGCTCTTGCTTTTCGAAGTCTTGTTTTTTATTCATTCCAGTTCACTTGTCAGGGTCAAGAGGTAGCGTTTATTTCCTCTCTTCCACCAACTACAAGCTTCTGTCAATGGCAGGCCACTTTATTTATAAAATATAGAATAAAATATGAAAGAGAACTTGGAGAAGACATTCCAAAACTATGCAGCGAACTGTATCCATGAACAGTTTTGTTGCATTTATTGAAAGGACAAATTATGTTAACTTACCTTGAACATCTAAAATGTAAGACAAAATAGTAAGGAGTGAATCATTTTGAATTCTTAATTCATGTTAACTTTGTGACTCTATCTTGTGACATATTGCACATAGTGGCTAGAATCTAGTTCTTGTTCAAAATGGAAACATCAGGAAAATTCATTTTGCTTGCAGTTGCAATCACTAGATGCTCTTGGACTTTTGGAGACTACAAAACAAGAGTTACTGGAGTCTGAGGTCAGTACTATGAAATTCTATTCAGTTAATAATGAAAATTTGAAGTTTCTCCTTTATTTTTACTGCTGATGTTAAACAGGGTTGTTCTATTACTTTCTGTAAAATCTAAAAGAATAGTAGCTCCATTTTGAAAGTTATTTTTAAGTTGATAGTGTTGGTAGGGGAAAACAGTAGGAACAGAAATCAGAGCAGAACAGTTCTAATATTAGGATTAAATTGAAGTTGGAACAAGATAATAGAATTTAGGGTTCATAAGAAACCTCTAATCTGAATGGATTGATAAAACAACAAAAAGTTACTACAAAAGTAACCCTAGCAGCCTATTTATATTAGTTTGAGCCCTATATACTTGTAGGAAAAGGAGTCCTAGTCTTAATCCCTAAGTAAAACTACTTAGCCTATAAAGGAAATATTTAAAAAAGTCACATGCTAATCACATGACAGGTTAATTAAGTAACCCTATTATCAGAAATATAATAAAATAAATTCTAGAGAAAGCTCCTGCATCATTCTCCCTTGGTTGGAAGAAACTTGTCCCCGAGTTGAACCATTCTTGCCTGTGGATGTCCAATCAAGACTCTCCAGCCCTTTTCGCTTCAGTTGTATAACAAATTCTAGAGATCAGCATCAGTTCCTCCATCTTAACAAACATCAGTTGGCAACTTATTTCTCTTCCATTGACTTTTGGAGTAATGAATTGCAAACCTTAAACTTCCTTCATCCGCATGTGTTGATCCATATAATAGTTAGACAATTCTACCCTTGTGGTAATAGCGGACTTGCAATCAAAAGAATCAATATAGCGTAAAGCAACAAATTTCTTTTGTTGAGCAACTCCTACAATCTCTTTATACTCAACTCCCATCACTGTCATTGTTGTTGACTTCAATATCATCATAATCAATCATTGTAATAAATATCATAGATTGGAGGAGAATCCCAATTCATTACAGATGGACAAAGAATTTCAACCCATAACTACTTTCTCTACAAATAGCGTGTCTTGTGCATGCTGCTCTTCCAATTGTCTTCCTCCATTGAAGTGCAGTGTTGTTTCTCTCTTCCAATCGTTCTTGCACTGTGTGATTTACGGCTCAAGCATCATGAAAGGACTCGTCATCCTTACTACCACCTTCCGGTATGTCTGAGGGTTGTGGTCACCTTCTGGAATCTCCATTCGGGCTCCCACTAGTCCTTTTTGTTTCTTAGTGTCAATAGCGCGCATCTTGATTTCTCCATCTACAACCTTTAACATGTCCAACCATGGTCAAAGGATTGAACTCTAACACAATCTTGAGGATCTTTTCGCTCTGATACCAGCTATTTTTTGTCCTTTCTTCCTACGTCAACCTGAAAATACATCACATACAAAGAGATGCTCAATTCTTAGTGTAAAAGTATGATACTTTTACTATCAAAAGTAATATGCATAGATGACTATAACTGATGTCTTGACAAATGCATGAATAAATGCTTGTGGAATTAAATTACCAGGATCTATGACGATGAAGTGTCGAATAATTCTGGAAAAAAAGAGAGAAAGAAATAATGTCTCTATATGGATTCATATTGATGTTATGGTGTGTCCCATGTGCCTTTTTAATTCCATATTTTTCAATTTAAAAGGTCCCAGCTTTCTGCCCTTAATTCCGCCCCCAATGGAAATTGATTTTTGAATAGATCTTGACATGAATTTCCTGCAGCATTACCCAAACTATTGAACAACAAACAAAGTTATGTTCACTCTTTAGTCATATACTAGAAGTTCTTTGTCCTCCAAATTTTACTTTTTGGTTAACTGGATGCAATTCATTTTTCTTATGTGTCGTTATTTTCATACTTTAGAACAAAGAACCAGATTGGTTAAAAGTGTCTGGTTATAATTATTTTTGAATGACAAAATTATTCCATTGCTCTTTATAGTCCACCTTTAATCATTGTAGAGCTTGGAAATCTTTGGTCATCCCTGACCAGTATAATGAAACCTGTAAACATCTCACTATCTCAGGTGTTTTTCCCCGGTGGATCTCCAAACATATAGGAATAGCTATGGTGTTTTTAACTTTTCAAGAACCTGATTCTTCTTTTAATGATTTAAAAAATTTTCTTTTAATATAATGTTCCACCAGCTAATTTCTTACTGATGCATTTTTTCCATACCTTAACATCTTAAATAGGAAACATGATGTCCTTGAATGGACAGTGAAAGATGAAGATACTTGAAGCAACACTAGAATTCTAATGCTTCAAACTCATAATTAAATCCTAATGTTTGCTGCTTCTAATTTATTGCCCTTTGAACTAATTCATTAAACTTTGCAAAACTACTTTTTGCTTAAATTTTAAAACAGGGAGAGCATTTACACAACGTTGAAGCCGAAAATGTCCTTTTGCAATGCATTTCTTCTTACAAAGAGGTATGTTTTGTGATTCATGGCGATTCAACTTTCTGTGCTGTTGTGAATGTCCTTGGATGTCTCTAGCATTTGATTCTTTTCAAACCTTTGAGATCTGCTTGGTTTCTTCATTTTAGCTCCCTTTTGTCCCTTTTTTTTTTTTTTTGGTGGCTTCAAGGCTGGATTCATGTGTGCAAGTTAATCCACACTTTGTTGCCAATGATATGAAAGTAATTCAATTGTGTCCAGAGTGGTAGGCCAAAAGTTTACTGGTATAGGTATCATTGTTCTCATATACCAAAACTAATGATTGCTCAAGTAGAGATGATGACCTAAAACCTGTTAGGATGAGAAATGAGTCTGCTGCTCTGCTTTCCCTAACAGGAGACTAGCCAAAATCTCAACCGGTATAACATTAACTAGGTAAAGAACTAAGAGGAATATCATGTGAAATTTATGGTTATTTATTTATTATTACTTTTGCAACATATGATTTTCTATTCCAAATATCAATTTGGGGGATATGCTATCATCTTGATGGACCCTGCCAATATGACATGGAGAGAGAATAAAATGATACACGTTCTTAAAATAAGCAATGGGTTGTTGAATTTTCGGATTGATAGTGAAACTGATCTCCTTTATGGGCAACTTACCCAAAATTCATGTATTGCCTGTAGAGAAAAAAATAAAAAATAAAAAAGAGAACAGATTATGTTCTGCATTTTGAGGCTCACCCTGGGCCTCCAGGCTGTAATCTAACTTCTTGCATTGTGTTTGTGATTTTTTATTTGTTTTAATGGTGTTAAGTTTATGTGTGTTAAAATTAGCTCTTCAAAGCTTGTTCAATTTCGCACATTAAACTAGAATGCCCGATTAGGCTCAAGTTTTGCATGTTCCTTTTGAACTTCTAAATATCGGTCTTCTCTTATTTTAACAATCGATTTAATGTTGCTTGGTGTGTTATTGTTAGTTCCCTGTCTTCTCTTTTGCCTCTTTTTTCTGAATCTTGCATATTTCTTGAGGCGTCAAGAAAACATCCAATTATTGCATGAAGATAGATACGACGATACTATATCTTAATTCTAGATCGACACATATATGTTTCTCTTATCTGGATAAGGGGTATTAGATTCCTATGACAAAATTATATGTTAACTTGGGCCAGACATTTTCATTTTATGCAGTTTGAAGCCGAGAAGTTAATTTCTGATTCACCTAAAGTAAAGACCGAGTATCTTTCATGTTTGAAGCATCTTATGAGCTTGATGATCGATGCCGGTAGCAAAGATAAAGTCACCTTAAAAAATTTGGATGATGAAATCAAGCGTGTTCAAGCTGAAATTTCTGGTCACTCAAAACATAAACCCTAAAACAGGTGCAGGTTTATGCCAGTTGTTTAAGCCAGATGAAGCCATAATTCCAAAACCTCGTATACAATGGTGGAACGATTTTGTACTCTTGATACTTATTTATTTATTTATTTTATTTTGTGTGTGTGTGTGTGTGTTGGGGGGTGGGTTTGTGTGGGGTGTGTGGTGGGTTTGTGTGGGGTGTGTGGTGGGTGTGGTGTTGGGTTTATTAGCTTTGTAATCTTTGTTCGTTAGCTTGAGAAGTTGATAGTTATAGTAAATGTCAACATGAAATTGTATCGATCCACGAATGTAATAAGAACAATAAATCACAAATTTTCTTAGTTATGTAGCAAAAAAACAAAGTTTTGCCCATTTCGACTCCTCTCTCTCTCTCTCTCTCTCTCTCTCTCTCTCTCTCTGAGGCTGGATCATATGTTACTGGTTTTAAGGGCCTTATTTTTGGGCAGTTCAAAGATATGAACTTTTGCATTGAATGAGGGTAGGTATCAAATTGGCTATGCCCAACGATTTCTTGCAGCAATTATTGGAAACATACAAAAGGAAAAAAAGAGAAATAGTTGAACCACCACTGAGCTGGGGCTATAAATATGTTACAGAGATCTTTGCATGTGAAGTCGGTGCTCTAAAACCATTTTTCATTAAAACAATGGATATAATAAAAGAAGAAAGATATTAATCTCAGATTAGATTCGATACCCACAAAAGCAGAAATTTTAAGTAGGTGGGTTAGCTGGGTTAACTTGCAAAGGTTTTTTTCTACGTTATTTCAAGAATTCTGAGAATGTTTCCTGTAAAGGGAAGAATAGATTCCACTGAGTAGTCTAAGATTGTTCACAAAAAAAATATATTCGGACAGGACGTGTCATCGACCAACTTTTTTCCTTTTTCATTACAAGAAAGAGACTCGAATCCGAATAATCTCTTGGATGGAAGGGGATGGCTCATTGAGGAGAAATGCGCACAAGACTCTTGTTGTTAAGTGGAGTTTCATGGCAAGACATTGGCCTCAAATTCATGGCTGGAAAATGTTTAGATCACGACAAAGTTCAAGTATAATAAAGACTTGGTACGTTGACAAGTAAGAATGGTAGACATTGATAAAACAAACTAGTCCTCCTAGGACCCCAACTTCCACCTAACGTTAGGCTTATAGTAGGGGCAGCTCCCATTTCGAATTTAATGATGTTATTCAATTCAATCCTGACAACACAACCAATGGACCAAATAGAGCCAAAAAACCAAAATCCTTCATGAGATTAGATACCTTTCTTATAGAAATTAAAGATGCAAGACTACAATAGAAAAGAAAATGCCAAGTTTCTATCTATAGCGTGGACCTTGATATTTCCACATATTCTTCTTCCTATACAAATCCCCTATGCCTTCCATCACTCCCTTCAGCATTTTCATGGAGAAAAAGAAACCTCAAGGTGGCGGCAGTGGTGCTGATGATTTAACCCTAGTAAAAGCAGCTGCATGGGCATGGTACCAGCATGGTTCAGGATCTGAAGGAAAGACTATGTGTGAATCTGATGTTACAAGAACCCGTCGAGCTCCAGGACCGTCAAGATACAAGCTAGAAGCTATGGGATTAATGAAGGAGAATACCATGGAATTAGGGTCAGAAACACCTAGTCCAATCCGCACAGATAAATCTCTTCTTGACGACTATGAAGTAGAGAGCATTTCAAAGCATTTTGACTATCTTATAGAGTCGAGCAGCAAGAGATTTTATGGCTTCGAGATAGATAATCTTGATCACGACCAAAGAAGTATGTCGTCAATGGATAGTGATCAAACTAGTGGAATGAAGCAGAAGAAGGACAAGAAGAAGAAAATTTTTTTACGAGGGTTTTGGCCGAGACATTCGGTTGTTTGTGCCACAAGGGAAGATGTAGACACAAGAGCTTTAGTGCGTTGCGGCAGCGGCAACAGCCGGAAAGGCAGATTCCGGTAGGTGGGCTGGTTACCTGTCGAGTCACAGGCTGCCCATGCTTGGTGAATTTACAGCAACTTATTAAATTGCTGTTACCTACACAATTTTCATTGCTAGAGAAATCATTTATGTGATTTTTTTTATTTGAATGGAAACACTTAATTACACTGTAATTTTCCCTTCTCTCATTTCAAAGGAAGAAATTTTTTATCTCACGATGTCAAATATTTTACTAAGCTAGCTATGAGTCAAGAAACAAATCAAGAAGGTAGAGTAGAAAGACACGAACAATCTTATAACACAAAAATTTAAATAATTTGACAATTACATCTATTCTTCATATACAAATAATGTTATTTTTATTTGTAATGCTTACAACTAGTATTATAAGAAAAAAGACTTAACAGACCTACACATCTTGCCTAATATATATTTTATAGACCTTTTAGAGGCTCTACTCCCTAACCTTAGCAAAGGACGCTACTCCCTTGATCCTTGTTTATTAAACGATTAATGAGACCACCATATGTATAGGGTCATCTATTATAAGTCTCCATTCTCATTAATTTCTATAACTTAGCATCATGATGCATTTTAGAATGTAGTAAATCAAATTTACTAACATATTTTGCAAATTTATTTGTTTGACAAGATAGATTTCTTAAATTTGAAACTTCGAATCATAGTATGATTTTAAATTTGTTTTTATATATTTAAATTGAATTCTTTTGAATTGAGATTTATATAGGTCAATTTTTTTAAAAAATTCTTACAATCTCTCTTAGAGTTGGAATCCAAAATTATAATATAAAAATAAATAAATTATATTTACTATTTGAGCCATTACCTAAAAAAATTTAATCTTGTAATAAGAAATCTAGTGAATATTTCTTAAAGAAGGAAAGACAAAATAGTTTGTTGGAGACATTAATTATAAGATTGCCAGTAGTTGACGATGAAATGGCAAGTTATTGGAAGAAGGTGGATGGGATAATGTAAGAAACTTCACTTACTTTTGAACCTTTTGGTGAATTTCTAGCGTCCCTTTTGGAACTAACAAGCCACATGGCTCCACCATGGATATGTCCAATCCATGTCTTTGGAATAAAGAACTTGTCCCATATACGAAAAACATCAATCACAATCAGTAATTTTCATTGGCACTATATCTCTTCATTTGATGCCACAAGATAGAACAAAGCCAAAAGATAATGAATGATCGATCGTGTTTTGAAATCGCTGTTTGATGTTGTTTGTCTAGCTAGGGCAAAGTATGCTTCCTGTAAGTATTATTGGGAGAGGAAAGATAAGAGGATAAAAAACACAAGGTGATGACCTTCCCAATATTCCAAAGAAATTGTGCTTATAGTACGAAGAATTATTGCAACAGAGAAATACCAACCATGCATGCATATAAAATTAAAATGTGATAGGCAGACAACAAGATGACACAATTCAACAAAAAAATATATGGATCTAACTCAAACCACCATACAACAGAAGAATTTCCTCCTCTGCGTTCTCACTGTGAAGAATTTGTGACAACATTTTGGGTGTTTTCTTGTAAGAGCAACTGGTGTAAACTAATCATTTGATCATAGTCTTTTAATTTCGAATTGATTTTTTTTTTAATTATTTTTGTTTCAAATTAGATTTTTTTATTAGATTTTTATTGATTATTGACGGTTCAAAACTTACTAAAACTTATAAAAACTTTACTTTTTCCTTCAATATTTGCTCTTTCCATTTTAAATATTAAGAAGTAAGAGCATCTCCAATGGTGCTCTCTACTTTTACTTAGCATTTTTAATGTAAATAGAGAGCAGCATTAATTATATAGATTGAAAATCCATGTTCTCTCCAATGCTACTCTCTATTTTAACTTTTTATTTTGACAAAATCCATAAAACTCAAAAAGACTATTGGTGAAGAGGTTGAGTAGCATAGAAAATAATAATTTTTATTAATAAAATATTATTAATGAAATATAAGATAAAGAGTCATTTGAACTCTCTAGTATTAGAGAGTCAAAGACAATCAGTATCTCAATTTTAAATATAGATATTGTGATAAAGATAGGATTAGAGATGAAATTTTGATCAAACATCTTTATTATAAAGAAAAATCTTAATATAAAGAAAGCATTGGAGATGCTCTAAGCAATTAAATAACGTTTTAGAACATAAGTAAATATTGAAAAAATGAAGCAAAATATTCATAAATTTTGATATATTTTTAATTTTAAAAAAATCAATTGTATTAATTTATATGGTTATAATTGATGAAAATTTAAAAGAATGAATTAATTTTAAATAAAAAATAATAATTGAGAAAGAATAAACTCAAAATTAAAAGTTAAAAAACTAATTTTCAAATAATTTTGGGTTTTTACCATTTAACCGTATCATAAGTAATGACATCGTGTCCATACTCACCCATTGTTTCTGATCTGTCCTGTTTGAAATTGCTCCTTGCACAGACTCGGATGTTGCAAAGTCCAGATCTCGAGCCTTTGCATTGGTAACTAACCCATGTCGTCATCCTCCATATTTTCTGTCGATGCTATATGAAACAGTTTCCCATTGTTTGAAGATTTAACATGCTATTTCAATGAGAGAAGTTGTCTTGATTTCCAAATTCCGATGGGTGTACATGTATTGTAAAAGGTGCAAAATGCCTGTGAGTTGAGTGGATTTAACCATTGGATTGTATTTGATATTAGTGTTTGTAAGAGAAAATCTTTTCCTATATCCTTTTCGGTAATGAAAACTATGTGATAGTTTCAGAACGTTATGTTCTTGTTGCTCTTTCTTTGCTTTGTTTCCCCTGTCACAAGTACAACTGATACGGTCAGAGTTCTCTTCTTTTGAAACAGATTTTCTCTTTGATTGCGAAAATGCTTAAGCCTTTCTAAATAGATACGAGATTTACAGCCGACTTAAATTAGTTAGGCAAACTAATCCTATTTAATCCGGATTAGATTTTAATTTTAATAGTGAATTAAGTATAGATATGATGGATGAAAATACAATAATTAAGTTAAAATAAGTATGTATACAGACAGAGCAGTGGAAGGACTGAGATATGAAGTAATGAAATTTAAAGAATGGTGTTTTTGGAGGGTAAACATTACCGTCCAAACAATATTAGTTTATTTTAAAAATAAGAAAAAGAAATAAAAAAATAAATTGATAAAAAAATGACTTTTTTTTAATGTAAAATAATATTAAATTAAGTATATTTAATATTGATCAAGAGACTAAATAATTAATATTTAAAATAAAAAATATTTATTAATGTATTTTTTAAAAACAGAGACTAAATTATAATTTACTGGAGAGGCAAAGAAAAGGTAAAAACAAAAAGGGGTAAAGTGCATGTTAGTTATATAAATTGAGGAAAGTTTCACTTCAGCTCTAACCTTTTCAATTGCCTCTATATTAACTTTATTGTTTACAAAAAGCTTCAATATAGCTCTTATTTATTATTAAATAGCTAACAACATCTAATAATCTATTTTTCATTTTATTTTTTAAGAATTTCTTTTTGATATATCATCACTTATGAGTTTTAGGAAGAAAGTATGAAAGAAAAATAATAAAGAGCAAAAATTATCCTTTTATTTTTTGTCTAATAAATACATCCTTCATCAGATTTTTTTTTTTTCAAATTATAACTTTAATATTGAAAATATCTAAACATGAGGAGCATAATGGAACGTTTATAAAATATGTAGGAGCCAAGTTATAAAAAAAAACTATTTTTTATTTATATCTATTATAAAATATTTGTCTTGTCAACACATTAAGGGATACGCTTTCTTATAATATTTCTAATTAAAGTTTAATTTGCAAAAAATTATCTAAACACAATTTTTAAAAATATATTTTTTTTTCGGAAAACTATTAACAAAAGATGCTGATGCTGAAACGACATAATAATTAGCAATAACCTACTTAACTTTAAAAATAAAAAATAAAAATAAAAATCTCCCTTTGAAACGGAGGAAGTATAAAACACCAAAAAGAAACAAAGGCATTACTCACCAAGAAACGAAAATCAAATGGCCACCTTCAAACTCCCCAGCACCCACCTCTCTCCTCCTCAAAAAACCCTCGTCCCCTTCTCCACCTGGTACTCACCACCACCAAGACAGCCGCCATCACCACCTCCAAGACAGCCGCCACCACAACCTCACAATGAATCTCCATTTATGTTTACTATCTCCGAAGCAATCAAAAACATTGAAACAAAACCACTTCACGTTTCTCTCAAAAAAATTCTACCTTCATTCAAAGCCCATCACTTTATCAACCTCATTAACCAAAACCCTTACTTTCTACCTCCAACATCCCTCCTTTCTTTCTTTAACTTTCTCTCTTCATATCCCACTTTTAGCCACACAGTTCAATCTTATTGCACTATGGTTCATTTCCTCATTGCACACCAAAGGAACCAACAAGCACTGTCTTTGCTTCATTTTGTTGTTTCACGTAAAGGGAAAGGCTCAGCTTCTGTAGTTTTTGCCTCAATTCTTGAAACTAAAGGTACCCTTTTGTCAAGTTTTGTGTTTGATGCCTTAATGAGTGTGTATACGAAATTTGGTTATGTATCTGATGCTATTCAATGTTTTAGATTGGTAAAGAAGCATAATTTGAAAATCCCATTTGATGGTTGTAAGTGCTTGCTTGATAAAATGATTAAAATGAGCTCTCCTATGGTAGCTGTGGAGTTTTATGTGGAGATTTTGGATTCTGGGTATCCACCAAATGTGTATAGTTTTAATGTTTTAATGAATAAATTGTGTAAAGAAGATAAAGTTAAGGATGCTCAATTGATTTTTGATGAAATTTGGAAGAGGGGTCTGCGGCCTTCAGCTGTCAGTTTTAATACTTTGATTAATGGCTATTGTAAATCAGGGAATTTAGAGGAGGGTTTTAGGTTAAAGACGGAAATGGAGAAGTTAAGGATTCTCCCTGATGTATTTACTTATAGTGTTTTGATTGATGGGTTGTGTAAGGAGTGTAGGTTGGATGATGCGAGTAGGTTGTTTAATGAAATGTGTGAGAGAGGGATGGTTCCTAACAGTGTTACTTTTACCGCATTGATTAATGGGCAGTGCAAGAACGGGAGAGTTGATTTGGCCTTGGAAATTTATAAGCAAATGTTGAGTAAAAGTCTCAAACCTGATTTGGTTTTGTACAATACGCTTGTGAATGGCCTTTGCAAGGGTGGATATTTTAGGGAAGCAAGGAAACTTGTTGACAAGATGAGTAAGAGAGGTTTGAGACCTGATAAATTTACTTACACTACTCTTCTAGACAGTTGTTGCAAGGAGGCAGATTTAGAATCGGCTTTGGAGATGAAGAAGGAAATGGTTAAAGAAGGAATTCAGCTTGATAATGTAGCCTTCACAGCCCTTATTTCTGGATTGTGTAGAGAGGGAAAGATAGTAGATGCAGAGAGAACGTTGAGGGAGATGTTGAAAGCAGGTTTGAAGCCAGATGATGGTACGTATACTATGGTCATGGATGGATTTTGTAAAAAGGGTGATGTGAAAATGGGGTTTAAGTTGCTCAAAGAGATGCAGAGTGATGGACATATACCAGGAGTGATCCCTTACAATGTGCTTATGAATGGACTTTGCAAGCAAGGGCAAACGAAAAATGCTGATATGCTTTTAGATGCAATGCTCAATTTGGGTGTAGTTCCAGATGACATTACTTACAACATTTTATTAGCAGGGCATTGCAAGCATGGGAAACTGGGAGACTTCCATAATGTCAAAGGTGAAATGGGCCTTGTTTCAGACTATGCATCTTATAGATCACTACTTAATGAATTGAAAGAAGCTTCTAAAGATCGCCACAAGAGATGATTTCTGATTGCTGCATGTCTCATGCACAGACCTTTGATAGTTGTTAAACTCAGATACGATCTCTCAGTTGATCAGAGCATAGGTAAGTCCTTTTAGTGAACTGTCTAATTGATTTACTTGACTTTAGATTCTGGACACAAAACTCAAAGCATATATAACTTGTAACCTACTATTGGATGTCAAGGATTGAACTGTATAAATACATACCTTGGTACAGGTAGAACAATTTTTTATCTGAAATAAAAGAAAAAAAAGAGAAATAAGATCTTTGAAATTTCTTGCCTGCAAGAATAGCATAGCTTTTGATGGAGGGTATCTGCCATGTAATGTTTGTTCACTTCTTTCTGTCCTCCCTTGCTCTGATTTCAATTTTTTTTTTTAATTGACTTGAACACAATTTCTAGTGGGTTATGCTATTTACTGCATTAATTCTTAATCACCTGTGAGTAGATTAGACCATTTACCATCTGTTGAGACCTTAGTTCCTGGCACAGTTAACTTTTTTAAAACCTACCTTTGACTCTACTAACCCAATTCATCCAATTTAAATCCAGAACTAGTGGAGTCAGCTGATCATCTTAGTTTCTACACTTCATAAACGACTTACTGCTAGTACATGAAATTGTTTTTTAAAATATTTTTTATTCATTTATTTATTGTTTCATACCTCTCACAAGTTACTTCACTTTGTAGATCATCACAAATTTTGTCTACTATAACTTGAAACACCTCTTAAACATTATATTCTCAAATGTGAAAATTACTTAATACTATATGAATGCCATTTGTTTTCAGGAACCAACTATTATCTTTAACTACTTTTGATTGTTATCCTATTGCCATACACAGGTAATGCACAGACTTTTCAAAGTTGACAAACTTGGATTGATCTCAGAATTGAGTTGAAGCAGAGGTGAGTTCTTTAGTAAGCCAGCTAATTGATTACTTAATTTTTCAGTTCTGGACTCTTGAGGCGCACATTTTATAACATTGTAAGCCTTGAAATCTTATGACGGAATTGTATAACACATATTTGGGTCCAGTTAGATTGATTAACAAAGAAAAGAAAAGAAATAAGAGAACCACTTTGAGTGCCTGCTAGAGTAATTGCATTCAAGGAATTGCTAGCATAATCCGGTAGTAACTGCATTCAAGAATTAAAACTGTGAATGAAAACAGACCAAGGGAAGACAGAAAGGAGTCATCAAACTGATCCAGACTCATTGTGAACAAAGCTCAAGGAAGATAATTGAAAGGTATGCTATAATTCTCAGTCATTTGTTACTACTAGATTTGGCCAATTTCTATCTTCTGAGATCTTAGTTTCTAAATGTTAGCCTTTATAGTCTGCCCCCTACCTTATTAACCCATTTTATAAGCTACTGAACTCCACTGAGTCTTGATTCCAAGCTAGTTGCAGTCAGCCAATCATCTTAGTTAAGTAGTCTTACAAAGTACTTCTACTCTGTGAGATTAATTACTATTGCATCATGCCTTTTTTAGTGCTCAACAAATTCTGATTATAGCAGCTACAATCATTTGAACGCCTTGAACATTTTCTGAATGTTCACAACCCACACAGAACTTCAAGAATTCCATTATTGTTCTTTTAAAGAGCTCATTCTGTGAGCAGGGGTGAACTTGGGCGTAGGTTGGTTTGATGAATGAAATCACTTATTTGTCCTTAATCCTTGTTAAGTGTTTGAAATCCTTAGCTTCAAGATATACTGTAAATGTTTTGCTAGATATTGTCTGTGTTTTGCCGGGTGGACTCACTCACATCTTCTGGTTGAATTTTGAATCTCTCTACACAAACAAAATTTTAGCTTCAGATCTTCAACTATGGATCTTTCCTGTTCCATGTAATGATTCTTTTGTGATTTGAACTTTTTTGTTTTTTTGGTACTAAAGGATCAGATGCAAGACTAGCTCCTCAACAAACAAACACCAACAGCATACAGCATCACCATGCAATGCCGGCAGAACCCGCCAAGGAGGATCAGACCGTTCAAAAGTTGAATTAAAGCCTCTGGCACCTAACTTGGCCATAATGTCAGCACAGCTATTCCCTCTCTGAGAACATGAGTAATTTTGCAAGATGAAGTTCTTTATCTTAACCAGCTCAGAAACATCAGCAACTAGAGCATGGCATGGATGAAATAGAGGATTACCCTCCCAAACCATACGCGAGGCTTCCTGTTCCTCCCAGTCAACTTCAAGAATGATATTTCTAAATCCCAACTCCTAAGTATGACGTAAGCCTTGCTGCATGGCTTGAAGTGCAGCCACCGTATAATATTAACAATATCAATAAGAAAATATATGATCGGTTATTGAAAGAATTTTATATCATTAATGTAAGTACTGTTATACATTATTATTGGAGTAAATATCTATCTTGTAAAAACTACCACTTAATAACTAAATTATATTCAATTCAATTTGTCTTCAACACTTAATTAGAGAAAGGTTTTGAACATTCAAGTTCTATATTTGTTGAATACTTTTAAGGTTAGTTGTTGAAATTAGAGGGACCATTTAAAGCCTTTTGAAAAAACTAAAGGGACTAATTTATAGAGTATAAGGGTTTGGAATGAAAAAGTGAAAAGGAACGATGTCGTTTGTAGGTTTTGAACAGTGAAAAGCAAACCTCTCATCGGTTTGACTGTTTGAGTCCACTCCAGATAAGACAAGGCGAGAAGCAAAAACCTGGGAGAATCGAAGAGACAACTGACAAGAGAGAATGCAAGAAATGAGTCAGCAGCAAGCTCTGATTATGATCCAAAGAATGGTGAAACTCCCTCCTCTTCAAGCCTTATCACTCTTCAACTCATCAATTTATCAAGGCATGCAACACACTCACCACTCCATTTCTTTCCTTCTCCAACACCTCCTTAACCATCACAACCTACACCATGCACAATCCCTACTCCTCCAAATACTTTCCAACAAAATCTCCTCTCCCTTTTTCACTGCCTCATCTCTTCTCCAACATTTAACACAAAACCAAAACCTAAGAATAACTAATGCTCTTCTCTATGAATCAATCATCAATGCCCATCTTAAATCTCACTTAGTAGATAAAGCTCTCTTCTTTTTCAAGGAAATGGTTGATAAAGGCCTTGTCTTTCGACCTAACACTTTTAATTATATCTTGGGTTATCTTGTGAAATCAAATTGTTTTGAGAAATCTTGGTTGGTTTTTAATGAATTTAAAGAGAGGGTTAAGTTTGATGCCTATAGTTTTGGGATAATGATAAAAGGTTGTTGTGAAAAAGGTGAATTGGATAAAAGTTTTCAACTTTTGGTTCAATTACAAGACAACGGTTTCTCTCCTAATGTTGTTATTTACACTACTTTGATTGATGGTTGTTGTAAGATCGGCGATGTTGAAAGAGCTAGGTTGTTGTTTGATCAGATGGAAGAGATGGGTTTGGTTGCTAATCAGTATACTTATACAGTTTTGATTAATGGGTTGTTTAAGAAAGGACTTAAGAAAGATGGGTTTGATTTGTTTGAGAAGATGAAGCTTAATGGGGTGTTTCCCAATTTGTACACATATAATTGTTTGATCAATGAGTATTGCAACGAGGGAAAAATATGGAGAGCCTTTGAATTGTTTGATGAAATGCGTGAGAGAGGTGTGGAATCAAATGTTGTCACGTATAATACTTTGATTGGTGGCATGTGCAGTGAGGAGAGGGTTTGGGAGGCTGAGAAGTTGGTGGATCAAATGAAGAGAGCTACTGTCAGTCCTAATTTAATCACGTATAACACACTAATAGGTGGATTTTGTAATGTTGGGAATTTGGATAAGGCTTCAAGTTTACTTGACCAATTAAAGTCAAATGGTCAGTCTCCATCTTTGGTGACCTACAATCTTCTCATTGAAGGGTATTCCAATGCTGGAAATTGGGCAGGAGTTGCTGATTTAGCAAGGGAGATGGAGGAGAGAGGCATTTCTCCTTCTAAAGTGACATGCACAGTTTTAATTAACGCTTATGTTCGATTGGAGGAAATGGAGAAAGCTTTTCAAGTTTATTCCTCCATGGAGAAGTTTAGTTTGGTTCCTGATGTCTATGTCTATGGTGTGTTAATACATGGTTTGTGCATGAAAGGTAACATGAAAGAAGCTTCAAAACTGTTTAGATCAATGGGTGAAATGCATTTGGAACCTAGTGATGTGATATACAATACAATGATCCTTGGTTACTGCAACGAGGACAACTGCTATAGAGCCTTGACATTGCTTCGAGAAATGGATGTTAAAGGGTTGATTCCAAATGTGGCTAGCTACAATTCTGTCATAGGAATTCTGTGCAAGGATGGGAAGTGGCAAGAGGCTGAGGTTTTGTTAGACAAGATGATACAATTGCGATTAAAACCATCAGTTTCCATCTTAAACATGATCTCCAAAGCCAAAAATCTTTCAGAATTGAAGATTTGAAGGACTTTTGGCTGGATATAGAAGGAAGCGGGGAAGCAGAATTATGTGAAAGATGGAGCTTTTGGGAGAAGTGGAATTTTGGTAAAAGAATCCTCAAATATTTGAATGTTACACTCACGCCCTCAATTTGGGACGGACTAAAAGAGACTGTAAGACACTCGGTGTGGGAGGTCAGTGAAAACAGTCCAATTCTGTTGTACAGAAACTAATATGAGTGGTACCGTATGAATGGGTCAAGTGTTTTTAGCATGGTAAGGTATTTAATATTTAAGTATTTGGTCTGACCAATTTCACATAGATTGGACAATCACACACTCCCATGTTTTGAGTATCTAGGGGGGTTGCTCTTGATTTCAAAACATCAGTGTTCATGGGCATATATAGTTGTTGAGACAAACACACACACACACACTTCCGAGTAGGAGAAAATGAAGCGAATCATGGGCATAACACAGACCTTAACAGCTTGTTTCAATATAATGTTAAAAAACAGAACAAATATACAGTTATTCCAAGTTGTAGATCTGACCCAGCTTTGGGGCAACAAATCACCTTAAAGAATACCAGGATATGTAATAGAATTCTGACAAGAAATGGTAAAATCTTGATTCCCTGATAAATCACCTGCGTATATACTATGTACCAGGATTTAACTATAGGAAGATTGACATCTAATCCTGGACTTTTGACAGAAAATTTTAATATATCATATCTTACATCTTCAAAACACAGTCTTGAGCAAAGAAGCAGGAAATGCCCGACAAACCGCAATGTTCTTCATCTAAGGCGTCCCAATTGGGTGAATCATACATGGATCTCCATAAATAGCTTCTTTGAATGTTGTGAGTGCCCAAAACTTTTCAGAAGTCCATTGATTCCATTTTGTGAAAGACTGGTAGACTCTGCCAAAAGTTTCCCCAGGTCAGTAAATTTTGTTAGTATACATTATTTTTAACACTAGAATTCAAATCACATAACTTCCAATGCTAGTAATGTTACTTGGTCACCAAGTAATTTTAGGAGCATAGGTGAATAAACTCAACTTGGAACCTTGAATTGTTTACATTGATTATACGATGACTGACACCACTCAGTTTAGCCTAATGCGCTAGTTACTTCAGCTTAGATTCATAATAACACTGGATAAAGAATCAAGAATATGTGAGAACTAAAGTGATAATGCAAATACCTTCATCTTTAGCAAAGGATTATTCACAGATCGCAAAAAGAATTAGAGAAACAGCACAAAGTATGAACGCAACTTCTTCTTCTTTTTTTTCCCAATTGTGCCGACCGCCAATGTTACGAGTAAATTATAAATTAGTTCTTCTTATTTTTAGAAACGAATTTACCAGTCTCTTTATTTTAAAAAACTAAATATTTAGTTTTTTTTTGTTAGTTTTCAATTTATTTTGATTTTTTGTTTTAAGAAATAGAAAAGAAATAAAAAAATAAGTAAAAATATAAAAAAAATTGATGAAAAAAAGATATTTTATATAATTAAAAATATTAAATTAATTATGATCAATACTAATAAAAACACTAAATAATTAATTTTTAAAATGAAACAAGAGGAATTAATTTATAATTTATTCCCACTATTAGCATGACTGGTTGATAAAAATGACAAGCCAATTTGTACCGAAAGCAATAAACGACATGTGAAACTATATTAGCTACCACATAATAATAAAATTTCCACAACAATATTATTATATATTCCATTGAAGAACCTCATCAAGAAGTTGCAGTGCTGCATATGGTCTTGTATTTCCCCTGATTTTCTTCTCTATCTCTAGCAGCTGCTACCTGCTGCCAGATTCTTCATGTTGGGTGCAAAAATGAGTCATCACAGGTATGATCATGAACCCAATCAACTATTTTTTCTTTTGCAGGAGATTTTATTTTCATCATGTGCTTACTTCAGTTAATATCCCATTGATAATTGCTTATAACTTAAAAGCTAATTTTAAGCATTATGGCTGGTGGTGGTTTTGTTGCTAGTGATGTTAAAAATTATCCAGAAAAGGTCACTTGGGATGTGGTAATTGCTTGTATTCTTGGAGCCATGGTGGCTAATTTTTTGGATATGGCATTGGTATCTCCGGTGATGTCTCATCATGGCTCCCTTTTTGAAAAAATGTTTCCCATCAGGTGATTGAAAGGAGGCATCATATGCATCCACCAACCAATACTGCAAGTTTCATGATACACGGTTTACCATTTTCATGTCTCCATTATACTTGGCTGCATCGGCTACATCTCTTGTTGCTTGATTGCTTCTCATGTCACTAGGAAGTGCAGTCAAAAAATATCAGTGATCCTTGGTGGCTTCATCTTTATCATTGGAGGTATTATCAATGCCGTTGCTCTTGATATCTTAGTGCTTATTGCTGGTCGCATTTTATTAGGTATTGGTTTTTCCAGTCAGGTTAGCTGATCCTATTATTTAATTATCTGCATGTGTCTAAGTTCATTTTTTTATAATCATGTTATACATACAAGTTAATCATTTGTTTTCTCAGAACTTTGTGTTATTTGTTTTAATTGCAGTCTGTGCCAGTTACCTCTCAGATATGGCTCCATCAAGATACTGTGGTGCTTTCACCAATGTGTTCCAGACTTCCAGTTAGCAATCACAATTGAAATTTTGATAGTTAATGTTGTCAACTTCTTGACCCCTAAGATTCCTGGAGGACTAGGATGGCGTGTAAGCTTAGGCAGTGCAGCCTTCCTGCTCTCTTCATCTTAAGTTCAGCTTCTTTTCTGCCTAACACTCCAAACACTTTTCTAGAGCTAGACAAAACTGAAAAAGCTTGAGAGAAGCTTAGGCAAATATGTAGTGTTAGTGACAATGAAATTGAGGCTGAATTCCAAGCTTTGGTTATGGCCATTTAGGCAGCTAACCAAGTGGAGCATCCTTTGGAGTGGTATTCATAAGAGAGACTATTGGCCTAAACTGACCATCGCTGTAGCTATTCCATTTTTCCAACAATTTAAAGATAATGCTTCGCTTTCCTCCTCAGCCATTACGGGCAGTATTAATGTTGCTGCAACCTTTATTTCTATCTATGGGTGTGATTAATGGAGAAGAAAATTTCTATTTCGTCTTGGTGGAATTACAATGTTCTTATTTCAGGTAATCAATTGAAATCCTCTTTTATTAGAATTGCAGTTTTCCTTTTCCTACTTTGTACCCTGCAAATAAATTTGCTTAGTCTTTTTCTTTTTCACAACTGAAGTAACTACCTTTGTTTGGTTTATACTTGATTAATGTTAATTCATGTTACATGAGCAGATTGTTCAAGCTGCTCTTATTGGATGGAAATTTGGAACATCTGGAGATGTGACTCAATTGTCAGATTGGTATCCAATGCAAGTATAGTTGTGGCATGTATCTGCTTCTTTGTTGCTGCTTTTGCATGCTCATGGGGACCATTGGGATGGTTACTGCCAAGTGAAAACATTTCCGTTGGAAATCCGGTCAGCCAGGCAAAGCATCGCAGTCTCGGTTAACATGTTTTTCAATTTCTTTATTGTCCAATAGTTTCTTCCCATTCTTTTGCCTCATGAAAATTGACTTGGTCATCTTCTTTGCTAGCTTTGTGGCAATTAATACTTCATTTGCTGAATTCTTATTGCCTGAAACGAAGAACATACCGTTTAATGTTGCTTTATTGTTGGCAAGCACGATGAGGGCTTTGGACAAGGCGATGTTGTCCATTATTTCAAGCTCAGTAGCATCTTTCAAGCAGCCTGATCAAACTTTTTTGGATGGCTCAGCTCTCCGGTTAGGTGTACAAACAGAATCACTTGGAAGTAAGAGTCCAAATTTCCTTCTTTCACTCTTATGTATTTCCTCTAAAAGCAAAGGACAATATTCATAATTATTAACATGAAAAGAAAGAGATAAATAAGTGGGGAAAAAAAAAAAAAAAAACAGAGAACTATAATTAACATGTTAAATTTACTTGGATCAATGTGGTTATTGCCTATAACCATGCCAACGCACTCCTCTCTTGAATACATCTAAAGCAATGTGGAGTTTTTGGTTAGAGCTACTGAATACTCATTGCCTTCAACGTAAAGCATGTAAACTGCTGCGGGCAAATGTTTTTCTTTTTTGATGAAAAACGATTAGACTAGGAAAGTGAACAGAGCCAGCAAAAACTATTTACAAAGAAGAGACGAATAAAATAAAATAAAAATAAAGTTACCTTTTCAGGCAATCCAACACCTCCCATGCCGAAGATTCAGAGAACTTCTATCATTGCAAAACATGGGCAGTCCTTCCTTCTTCTTTTTTACCTGAATATTTTTCTTAGATGAAAAATTCTCCTTTTTTTAATATATATATTACCTGAAAAATCAGATAACAGCTGAGAAAATAGATAAAAAGAGAACTTAGATGGATGCTTATACCTTGATAGATTAACAAAACTGAAACAAATTTGAAGGAGAAGAGTGATGATTTGCTACTCTGCAATGCAATAAGAAGACAGAAAATGATCAAAACAGATTGCAATGCAATTCCTTTCAGATGATACTAGCAGATAGATTTCCAAAGGCTGTTAGACGAACATGCACAACCAAAAAACAAAATCTCAAAATTAGCTAAAATCTAAATAGGCCTGCCATGCAAGAAGCTAGAAGAAAAAAAAAATTCTTGGATTCAATCCTGTTTTTGGTTTGCTCTACGACCTTTACGTGATCTTTCTGAAAATTTTCTTTTCTTTGCTTTTCTACAGTGATACAATTGCTTCTATTACTGTTTGTGGTTTGTACAGTCATTACTCATTAGTCAAATCATCTGCAAATTGTGGCCATTTTGTGGAATAGAAAAGGAAACACATGAGAGAAAGAATTGTGATTGCGCGAGCACCTACATGAAAGAGCACAGAAAGTGAAACAGAAGGTCACACAGCAGGCAGCACTGCCCTGCCCTAGCTATGAACCTGAACCAAATTGCAGGAAACGAAAATTTGAGAAGAAAAGATTGAAGAAAGAAAAAACTAATGAAATTCTGCAATTGGAAAATAAAGAGTATACGAACTAAATCAATACGAAAAAAAAATGAAAACAAAATACAAAAAAGAATGTATATACATATATTTTGTATGCATAAGGTAAACGAAAGAAAACCAATGAATAGAGGAAAAGCATTCAAGAACCGGCATCATTTCCCCAAGTTTGGATGTATACTGTTCATGACGATGGGTTGGTTTATTGTGCTCATAAGTCATGAAAAAAGGAAAGTACAAGATAAGAATCTCCCGAGAGCAGATTTCCGGGCTTTTTTGCCCTTTTTGGCAAAAGGTGATTCTGTCTGACCCTTGGTATGCGAGAATTTATAAAGGGAAAAGGAGTATAGTATTATTTCAAGTCATGCATAAATACAGTTCTTGACGAAATTAGTTTGCAAGAGATTGTGATCTTGAGATTGTCTAGAGGTTATGTTCAAGTTGCAAGTGAAAATTTTCAATAAAAAGGACCTTTAGAGGTCAGGAACTTTCTGCAAATAGTAATAGTTCTTTCATTAGAAACCAGCAGAACTATGTTTTTCAATCTTTAACCAGCCAGTCCTGCCCAGTATTCTTAGCTTGTGATGGCGTTTCTTTCAAACTTGTTCTATCGCATCTCTCTCACCAGTCACTGTTAGGTGCAACAAATCAGATTCTGAATATCCCTCCCATACTTACCGATTAATGTTTAATCTCAAATCAGATTACTGGAAAATCTATGCTGGGTTGTTGATGCTATTGAATGCTCAAGCATAGGGCATCCATGTATCAAGGCACTGAACCTGAGAGCTAACACTTGCATGGTACATCAATATAAGATTTTGGGGAGTTCAACAGGAAATATTAGTATTTCAGAAGCAGTTTTCACTTTCTAAACTTGAAAGAAAACACAATACTATTCAGGCTCTTGCTAAAATACACTACAACTCCAGAAGATAGTGCTTCTCTTATTCTTAGTTTTCTGGCTACAAGAGACCAGAAAAGGAAAAAAAAAAAAAAAAAAAAAACATGAACCAGATTTTCATTTTTTAGCATTATAACCGAAACTGAATTCTGAAGAATTATGGTTCATCGCTGCTGCCATTCCTTGCTAGTCCTCTATATCAATTGAGGGAGTTTTCAATGTCGATCACAAATCGGTACTTGACATCATTCTTTATCATCCTCTCAAGTGCCTCATTCACAGACTGAATTGGTACTATTTCTACTTTGGGGTAGATTTTGTGAATGCCACAAAAATCCAGCATTTCTTGTGTATCTTTTGTACCACCTGCTGCACTTCCAGAAATGGTTATCATACCTGCAACAGTCAGGCAAAAAGCAATTCCAGGTTAATAAAATCAGAATTTTGACGCTTAGACTGACGTTTTCTTGCATTTCTTTTTTCTCATTTAAGTCACATTACCAAGAAGAAGCCTCAAAGGACTGAGCTTGATTTCACTTGGAGCGCCCACCAGGACTAGGACTCCAGCGGTCTTCAAAGTTGCAACGTAAGGATCAAATGGATGATCACCTGATGCTGTGTCAATAATGAAGTCGAGGGATTTATCCAGGGCCTGCAAATAAGAGCCATGAGTTTGCTATCAGATCTCGATCTGCTGCACGAGAAAACTCGTTGGACTGCTTACCTTCATTTGCTCCATGTCAGATGAGACTACGAAGTTATCTGCTCCAAGCAGATTCAAGGCTTCCTCCTTCTTCGAAATGCTTGTGCTGAAAACTGTGACGTTCAATCCAAAAGCCTTTCCAAACTTCACAGCCATGTGACCGAGGCCGCCTAGTCCAATCACCCCAAGGGATTTTCCTGGTTGGTTCATCTTGTGACGAATCATGGGAGTATAAACTGTTATGCCAGCGCACAGCAATGGTGCTGCTAAAGCTAGCGGATAGCTATCAGGTATTCTGTAGCAGTATCTGTTAAAGAAACAAGACAGATATTTCTGTATCACCTTCACACATTATGAATTCTAAATTCTAGATGTAGGCATGCAAACCTTTCATGAACAACAATGAAACTGGAGTATCCTCCTTTCGTGACGGTGCCGTCGACATCAACACTATTAAAGGTGGTAACAACTCCGTTTGCACAATGCACTTCAAGCCCATCATTACAGTAATCACAATTCTTGCATGAATTGACATATGGTCCCACTCCAACATGGTCGCCGATTTTGAAGCGATGAACATCAGATCCAACTACTTGTACAGTTCCAACTATCTCATGACTACATAGATGAGACATCATAAACATGCAAATTAAAGCAGAATGAAATACAAGAAACTGTCAATGGCATTTCTTTTTTCTCTGCATTGTAAAGAAAGGAAAAAAAAAAACTTTCTTGTTGATCACACCATACCCTGGTACTACTGGGTACAATGACTTTCTGAATTTTCCCCTGGTAGCGAGAACATCAGCATAACAAATTCCACAGTGTGTTATTTTTACTGAAATGTCATCTTTCCCAACAACCCTGCAGAATTTTTCAGTCCATTAGTAGTTGAATATTTGTGAATAACACTCTTTTGAAGATTATGATATCCATACCTTCTGTTAAATTTATATGGGGATAGAAATCCTGATTGATCTCTGGCAGCCCAGCCAAGGCAATTCTCACTCTTGTCTGAAGCCATCTTCCAGTTCTGTCTAAGGCAGAATTCAATTAGTCCTTGAATCAGAATTCAGATTCAGTGAACAATAAACAGAATCGGCAATTGGAAAGTTCAAAAAGAAAAACAAAGAGAAAGCTGATGGAGGGTAGAGACTAGACCTGTAAAATGCAGTCGAGCTAAGATAATTGCTCAAGACTAGGTCAGGAAGAGAAGCGACAAGCAGACTGTGTAGAGAGCCATGCATATCACAAAAGTATATATATAGCCAATCCAGGAGGCCTGCTAGGGGAATCAAGATTGGAAATAAAATATAAGAATATTTCAAACGGGATCCCAGCTTTTGGATCATAAACGTCATGAAAGACTTCATATTAAGGCAAGAAAGTTTCTAATCCAGTCCCAAAGAAAGGTGCATGGCCAAAGCATTCTTGACCCAGAACAAAAATAATCTTAATGACATACGAGGTGATCTATAAGCCATCGTCTGACACACTATCTGACCTCACGTAGTCCCTAACTCCCACCAATTGTTAATTAATTGGTGAAATTACAGTACTATGAATAGTCAAAGATGAGGTGAGCCAAATTGACAACTGCTTTCGAATTAGCCATGAATATTCTTTAATTAAATTATCTTAATTAAACGTTTTAATTTAGTTACTTAGCTAGCTTACAATCCTTTTCTCATTATAAGACTAATCTTGTTTGGAATGAAAGTAACAAAATTTAACTCTTTCCAATAAATACGATTTCATAATTTAAATCATGTATATTAACGGAAAATTCATCCGGAATCAATTCACTTCTGTAAAGCCAACGACTTGTTGATAAAATATATTTATCATGACTAATTACATGTTTGCATTTGTATGGATTTTAATTAAATGTTGAAAAGTTAATTGTTTGCATTTGTATGGATTTTAATTAAAAATGTAATTATGTTATTTTTTTCTTTTTGTGTGTTTATATATATATATATATGTATGGCTGAGTGGTAAATATAATTTTATTTAATATATATTAAAAAATGTAGCATTATGAAGTCTAAATCTTCATAATAAACAAATAGTTATACAGTTCATAACGGAGATACAAGTCTTCTATTTAATTTTATTAATATAAAATATAATTAAAAATACAGATTGAACATTTTAAATATTTTTAAAAACGAATAAAGACTTTGAGTATAATATAAAAACAAATGGATATATTTATGTTAATATTTTTTATAAATTATTGACCATAAAAGCTTTTAGTCAAAGATTCAATCATGAATATAAGAATAGGAAAAAAATATTAAGATAAGTAAAAATAAAAAAGAAAAAATAGTTTAAAATCAAGAGTAAAATAACGTATGAAAAATTTTAATTATTGATAAAACATTCTAAAACATTGTATAACGGAGAATTAAACTGAATTTTGGTGATAAAAACATCCTCAAAAAATCCGTAGGCTATGTCGCCATTAAAATTAAAAAGAAATATTGTAAGTATTAAGTGAAGTGGAGTACACTCTTTTAAAAATGTAACATCCATGATTATGATATTATCTTCCCCAACGCTTTCGTGTTTTTTTTTTTTTTTTTTTCAATTGGGAGGATAAATTGCTCAATGGAATGGACAATTTAGAGAGCCTGGGAAAAAAATGGGCTTGGGAAGTTGGGCTGGTTTAGTGGCTATAATGCCTGTGAAATGTGAATTATCGAGGGTTTGGCCCATCAGGTTAATTCATCATGTCCATGAAAGGCAGGTAATATGGTTGGCCTTCATTTTCTATAGGCTCAAAATCCATGTCTCCTTAGACAAATCCAATGTGTGGTGACAATGCAGAAATTTTATCTCAGGCTATACAAAATAAATACTGTAATCTATTTAAATAAATCAATTAACACTCGAAATTTGACTAATTACAGAAGGTTTAATGACATATTTTATGCCTAAAATATTGGAACTGTCGTAAAATATAACCTGAACTATCAATTTGATTTATTTTATCATCAAGCAATTTTTAAAAATGTAAAAAGCCAACAACCAGTCTTCAAACTTTTCAAAACCAAATAAAATTATTTTAAAAAAAATATTATAGTGGTCGTTGGTTTTTTTTTTTTTCTTTCAACAAAAAAAAAAAATCCAAATCAAACAAGTTTTTTTTTAAAAAAAAAATTAAAACAAAAACAGAAGTAAAAGCTATAAATGATATGAAAAGGCCTTTAGTCAGCCTTGATCCGGTGGTACATAGCTTGAAACGTGCTTTCACATGCGTGTGTTTAAACTTTAAATTGGTTATTTGATTTTACAAATCTGATTTAAAAGTTTTTATTTGAAAAATACATGAAAGACCAAATAAATTACATGAACAATAAATATTTACTGAATTATATAAGTTAGATCGATGAATTATTAATTTTTAAATGTTTATCAATCAGTTTTTTTATTGATTGTGGAACTTATTATTTCTATTATTATAAATTAAAATTTGAAAAAAAATAGTATACAATTTAGGGAAAAAATAGTGGGTAAACAGATATGCGTAAGGTATGGATAAGGAATGACATAGTAGGTATGAGTTGGATAAAGAAATTAACAAATGATTCTTAGTGAATAATTAGTTTTTTTGCTCGCGCTACGTTGTGGATTGGATAAAATATATAAAATCGCTTAGAAAAATTATTTCAGTTTGATAGTCTGTTTTATGTCATGGATCTATAAAAATATATAAAATAAAAAGTGTAAAAAATTATTTAATAAAAAATTTTGTATTTAACTATTTCTTATTTATGTTTTTTATGATTTTTCTTTTAGAAAAATGATTCATCCTTGTTAATCCATGAATTATTAACTAAAAAGAAAATTAAATATTTTTTTTAAAAAAAGCTTTAGTATTTTATAAGATTGCATCAAAACACATAAATAACAATTATGAAAAGCTTATATAGAATTGAACAAATAATTTTTTTTATTTAATATTGATAAGAATATCGGCTTTTTGAAAAAAATGTTAATTTAATTTTTATATATTTATTTACAAGAGAATGAATAATATTTAAATAAAAAACTATATTAATTTGAATCATTGAGTAGTTAAACCAAAATATTATTTTAATTATTTAATTTAAAATAAGTTAATTTTAAAATATTCAAAAACAAATAAATAAATCATAATTGCTTAGTGGAGTAGTAGTTGCACAGCTTGATTTCTAAAAAAGCAACAATTCAATAGTTTTTTATACATCATAACTATACTAAGCGAGTTTAAAGTATTCGATCTAAAAAAAAATACTATAAAAAGTTAACTTGTAAGGAATATATTGACTAAATTTGAAGTTAATAGACTAAAATAAAAATTATTGCAAATCTGATTTCGAATAATTATGATTATATAAAGAAGAAATAAATTAATAAAACGTGTAAATCTTTTTTCTTTTTTTTTCCTCCTTCTTAAATATTTTTTTTATTTCTATGCTATACATGGCTAGTCTTTGAATATAGGCCCACACACAGAAGTAACTATCTTTTTTTTTATTTTTTACATTTGACCTTCAACTATTAATTAATTAATTAATTTATTTTCTAAAAAATAAAGAAAAAATTATTTGAAATGCACTTTTAATCTAAAAATGTAATTTAGACAAATTATATATATTAATCATGTCACTATAATTTAAAAGTTATCTAAATTTATTTTTCAAAAGAAAAAATAATCATTTTCTAAAAATTTATTCCAAAATTCATACATATAGAAAAATAAATGAAAAATGTCAGTAAATAAATTTTAAATTAATTAGATGAGAATTTTTAAAAAATAATAAATTAAAGCAAGTAAATTTTAAATAATAAAAATAATTAATTAAAAAATACTAAAACAAAATGGGATGAAATCAAAATATAATCAAAGTTTGAAATTGAAAAAAGAGAGAGAGAGAGAGAGAATTTTTTTAAAAAAATAACAAATTAATGTAGTAAATTTTAAATAATATAAAAAAACCGAGAAAAAATTATTTGAAATACACTTTTAATCTAAAAATGTATTTTAGACAAATTATAATTAACCATGCCACTATCATTTTAAAATGATCTAAATCTATTTTTCAAAAGAAAAAATAATTATATTTTAAAAATTTATTTCAAAATCCATACATATAGAAAAATAAATCAAAATTACGAGTAAATATAATTTTAAGTTAATTGAATGAGAATTTAAGAAAAAAAAGATAAATTAATATAGTAAATTTTAAATAATAAAAATAATTAACAAAAAAAACTAAAATAAAATGGGACCAAATTACAATATAATTAAAGTTTGAAATTGAAAAAAAAATTAAAAAAAATGATAAATTAAAATAGTAAATTTTAAATAATAAAAATAATTAACAAATTAAAGTTTAAAATTGAAAAAAAAAAAGGAGAGAACTAAAAAAATGACAAATTAAAGTAGTAAATTTTAAATAATAAATATAATTAACAAAAAAACACTAAAATCAAATGGGACTAAATCATAATACAATTAAAATTTGAAATTGAAAAAAAAAGTTAAGAAAATTTGAGGACCAAAGTGTTTAAAAAATGACATGAATAGTGAAAGGAATAGTAATATGTGAATGTGTGAATAGTGTTTTAAATAGTAAAAGAAATAGTAAAACTATGTTTTACTTTAGTTTGTTTTATAATGAGTAAAATATTTTTTAGTGGATAAGATATGAGATTGGCTTAATGGAGTGGGAACATAATTTTTGGCCCCATAATAGAAGTTCACAAAAATTTCAAAAATGTTAAAAATTAAGGAGAAAAAAAAAACAAAATCTAATTATTTAACAAATGGACTCAATGATGAGACATTGGATCGTAATCTTAGAACACACTTAATAATGAGAAATTTTATAATGCTCAAGGAGTAACTAGTGTACATGTATACTAATTACTCTATGAATTCACTTTTTAGGAAAGAGATAGACACATAAAAAAATCACATCCGTATCTAACAAAAGTGATAAAAAGATTTTCACTTTGATTGAATTTTTTAATTTTCTCTCTTATTTCTCTCTCCTTTTTATGTCTATTTTTCTCTATGGAGTAATTCATGCTAGTTCTCTTTGAGTATTATAAAATTTCTCTTTAATAATGGGTTCGACAAATTCAATGGTTAATGTTTATTTTTGAAGTTTATTTTTTATTTATTTTTTTCTTATTTAGCATTATTTATGCTTCATATATATATATAGCTGATAATCAATCACCGTGAGTGATT